GATGCATCATTGAGCTTCCGATCCACGGTCAGCTGCGATGTTGAAAAACGACTCTCAGAGACCGAAATACTGAACATATTGTTTGAAGATGAACATATTAGTGACAATGAAGACCAGCCCTGAGAAAGACCTTACACAGGGGTCTGACAGTAGTTATATGGACACTGAGGTGGACGATGTGATGTGTGTGTACAGTACACACGCCTCGGCCAGCTTGCCATGCCACGCCACCCTAGGTCAACACCAATGGATGTACCATCACCATCTGTGTCACCTGACGTGAGTCTACTGAGTGATAGTATAGGTGATGAGTCATTTTCTGGATTCAGTGACATATGCTGAGATACAAGCAGTGTTTATGAACCGAGTGCAAGCAGCTTTAGTGTTATTAGGTGGAGTTTCCCTCTGCCAGCAACATGCTGAGGCAAGCGCCAGCGTGTCACGCGGCCCGAGGACAAAGACGACAGTGTGTTCTCGACATCAGGTGTTCGTGGCAGGCCTATACTACACAGAATGCCTCATCTAATGCCATACTTGTACACAGCTCTAGCACAAGACGATGAAGCCATGTTGTTGGGGCCTGTGCTGGTGGTGCTCGTGCTCAGGTAGGCAGTGATGGTGTCAAAACAAAAAACATGGGTGTACTTGTGTAGGAGGATTGTGACATTTTTGTCCCACAAATTGGTATCATTTGATGATACCGATGTTGGTGTGACATCCTTTTTTCCCTATACTGGTGATGATATGGCTGAAATTTATTATTTAATGGCATATTTCGATCAGCCATTCATGGAGCATCTCGTTGCAGAGATGAACCGATATGCTCTGCAACTCATGGTCTCTGGAATTTTACCTGCCTCTCGAATGACATGTTGAAAAGACATGACTATTGAGGAAATGTATGTGTTTTTAGTGTTATGCATGATGATGAAGCATGCAGAAAAACATGTAATCCAGGATTATTGGAACAAAGACAGCCTTGTTCCAACCCCCTTGTTCAACAAGTACATGTCACGTGATAGGTTCCTGCTGCTTCTCAGGTGTCTCCACTTTGAGAACAGTGTTAATAAAGAAAGACACGACAAATTGTGGGAAGTGTGGAAGCTATTTAGTGATTTGAGAGGAAAGTTCCATAACTATTTTGTACCAGCACAGAATGTCGTGATTGATGAATTGCTAGTTCTCTTTAATGGACGACTGGTGTTCAAGCAGTACATTCCATCAAAGCGGCACAGGTTTGGATGAAAGTTCTTTGCGCTATGTGACTGTGAAACTGGTATGGTCATGGACATGATATTGTATTCAGGTACAGGCGTTGACATACCAGGTCAAGATCCACATGGGTTCTCAGGCAGTGTCGTGAAAGCACTCATGGAATCATTGCTGAACAAGGGGGGCATATCCTGTACATTGACAACTATTATACCAGCCCCTTGCTGACCAGATTCCTCCTTGACCACAACACCAGCGTATGCGGCACTGTCAAGACACACTGGAGGGAAATGCCAGTGTTTGGCATTGGTATTGCAGTAGGTGAATGCCAACTGAGAAAGTGTGATAAAATGTTATCGGTGTGGTGGAGGGACAGATGTGAGGTGAATATGTTGACAACTGTTCACACCGGTACAATGTTGGACAGTGGCAAAGTCAACTTTGCAACAGGGGTGAAAATGTATAAACCTGATTGTGTCATTGACTGCAGTGTAAATATGCATTTAGTAGATAAATGTGATATGATGGTTGTTGCAGTCGAGTGTGTGAGAAAATCTGTGAAGTGGACCAAGAAATTGTTTTTCCACCTTGTTGACGTTACAGTGCTGAACTGTTTTAACATGTATCTTGTGAAATCTGGTAAGAAACCACCTATCCGTTCATTCAGTGTTGCTTTAGTGTCGCAACTGCTGATGAAATATGGGGTGGTGGGCAGTGTTGGTCCACATGGGGTACCAGCAACAATGCCTCACACACTTCCTGACAGACTCGGGTATAAAGATTACCTTACTGTACATAAGCTTGGTTATATATTAAGCACAGGAACACATGAAAAGGATGGATGTTCCTGAATTGTTTGCAAGAACACGCAACATAAGGAACAGAAGCGAAGATCCATCTGTACTTGGTGCGTTGAGTGCAAAATTCCCTTGTGCCACATTGACTGCTTCAGTGACTATCACACACTCATGCAGTTCTAAGTGTTCATAGTGTTGTATATAGTCTGTGATAGTGTACAGTGTGTAAATAAGTTGTAAATGTAAATAATTGCACAATGTAATGTAGAAAATATGAAGTGTTTGTGGACACATTTGTGTTACATGTAACATAGTTTCGTTAAACAGTACGGATGATTTACTACCTTATTATTATAAACCTGTTCAACATACATAGGATTAACCAGAAATACAAAAGAAATGCATTTGTAATTGTGCAGAAAAAAATGAACATAAAAGTATTTGTGGCATTTCGTGCTTGTTAGATCTGGCATGCGATTGCCTCCGGGAGTCTATGCCACGGGCGACCACCAAGCCGTGACATCACACGCCATTTTCTGGACACTACTGTGGCCAAAGTAAGTACATTTGTGCAATATTTTCAGCATATATGTGATCAAGGGAGGGGTATTTAACAATTTTGGAATGACAAATAGAAATTTTGCAAAGAATTTATTTTCGTCACACCACGGGTGTGTTATATTTTAAGGCAGCTCAACACGGTGGTTAAGCATGTACTGTACTATCATGTTTGCATAGTTAAATTAATGAAAATCAAAGGCATTTTGAAAGATAAAATGATATCTGCATTTTTTCTGGTTTAATTTGCATCCCTTATCCCTCCCACACCCAGCTTAATAATTAGTGTATGATTTGTTATTGATGTATGTTTTAAGTTTGACGGTAAGCTTGTAAGAAGAGGGAAAATTTACACTTAAATATAGGAGATAGTCATTCGTCATCATCTAGCAGGTCAATGTCGACATCTCTCTGATCTTCTTGTGTTTCAACTTCTGCAGCTTCATGTTGGACAAGAAAATGCTGCTGGAATTATGGTGTGTGTTGGATTGGTATGTATGACAGGAGGGCATACAAGTACCTGGTGAACCACTGGTCGGACACTTCCCCTTGTGTGCAATTATGTCTGGGTTTGAGACTTTGCCTAGGAGGATTGACTGAGTACCAAACCTTAACTGTTTGCCCCCTGCTCATCCTATATTAATTTGGAGAATTCGTTGTTAACCAATTGGTAGGTCATGTTGCAAGGGAAAACTAGTAGGATAAGGCGTAACATGAGCTATTAAACGAGAAAGCTTTGAGCCTCCCAGCAGGAGATAGAAGTAGTTTGTACCTGTGAAAAAATTTTTTTGGGCTTGTCCTGTTTCAGCTTCCAGGGTTTACATATTGGTAATTTGGAACAAAAAGTTATTTATTTATCAGTTTATTTATATACAAGATGGTACATTGGGTTGTGAGAGTACATGACATAAGAGTTCTTTCATTCTTGCATAGCCACTAACACCGATAGCATTTTGGGCTGGTCTTTAATCTTACAGATAAGAGTAATTATGTGTAATATATCAAACTTCTGTGATACATAGCAACTGGGCAAGAAAGAGATAGATGAACAGACTGCAGTTACTTTTCATTATAAATATGGTAAGTCTTTGATAGATTTCCTCATGAAAAAACAATTAGGAAAGTACAAAACATGGGAGGAATAAAAAGTGAAGTATTACTATGTATGAATGATTATTTTGTTTGAAAGAAAAAATGAAAAGGAAAAGAGGATGCTCTTTCCCAATTGGGCAGTCACTATTGAAGTCCTATGTAAACCATTACCCCATAACGGTCCAGTTTTACATAAATAACAATGGAGGTAACTGTATAAATATATTTGCAGATGATTAAAAAAATTATAGAATAAAAGCATGAAACCCCTTTAAGAACACTTATACAAGTTGAGGAAATGGAGCCAGAAATGGATGATAGAATTTAATATTGTATATACAGATGATGCAGTGGATATAAAGATATAAAGATGAGTGAAAATAAACCCCCAGAGAGAAAATAGATTTCAAAGAAATCAGATAAATGTAATGATCTGAGAGTGACACTATATGGCAGACAGTTGCCAGAAAACAACGTAAATGGTGCAGAGGGCAAGTCCTCTGTAATGTTGGGAAATTTTGGGATTCCCTTGAAGTGTATGAAGGAGGACATGCCAACAAATTATTTACAAATTAAGTTAGACCTAAACACAAGTAGTGTAAAAGACCAAAAACATGCAACTAGATACTGTACATCTAATAAAATGAAATACTGTACAAAGAATAAAGGAACTAGATGTGTCTAAATAGAAAGTCAGGAGATAGAGAAGACATGAAAAACACCTGCATGATTATATACGTGAGAAAATGAGACAGGAATGGCTTCTCCAACTATCAAGGGATAAAAGATGATGCATGTAACTTATTGACAAATATGTATAGTCAGCTTCTGTTGGATATCCAACACATTAGTAGACAGGCTCAAGATTTTACTTTGAAGATGCAGCCATGGACAGTGGGAAAAAAGATGACTCATATCTCCTTTAATATTGTAGCTTGGATTGCAATCTTAAAGATTTCAACATGAGAATACACCATAGATAAAGAGCAATTATGTAATTGGTTTACATTTTGAGTCTGAAATTTTTTATTTCCTGATACAAATGGCTCACATCAACACACAAACTTTAATTAATCTGAGATTTGATTATGAAATGAAAAGGCATACCACATTGAATCCCCACCATACAGAACCAGAAGTCTACTGTATTAATCATTGGTTAGATACTTTTATTTTTTAATTCAGTTGCTGTACTCTAGAATACATTTCTCTCCTTGTATTAATTCTTATTCAGAACATCTCATTGTTTTCTACATTACTCATCATCCTTCTTCTTTAAATCATTTTCATCATACCTTAAGCAGAATGATAAAGCATCATCTGACAGTATCTCTTGGGCAGCATATTCCATATCTGCCGTCGGCCTACCTATATGACTCAGTGCAGTTGTATGCACGGGCCGTGTCGGAGCTCTACGATGCCGAAAAATCCAACAACGTTACAGTTGAGGAGATTGCCAGGAATGGTACGAAGATCAAGAACCATCTCAAAAACATTACATACAAGAGTAAGTGTGAATCTCCTTTTACTTATATAATTCTTTTATCAGACTAATGTGAGTGCTTGTAGTTGAATGTAGAAAATTTAAATTGCATGATGTAAAACAAATTAAACAAAATATAGAGATGCTTTCAACCAGCTTCAGTTAAAATTTTGATAGCAGTTGATATGTGCTTAAAATTTTTATATTACAATATATGAGTATAATTCTTTTGGAAAGAAATAAACCCCACGTGGTTGGTTATCTTGATCCCAAGAGCAGTTAAGAGTAGCTTGTGAAGCTACTTTTCTGGCCAATGATGACAGGTGCACCAAAAGTTATAGCTTCTTGCCTCCCAATGTTTTTGCCATGCAGGGAGACCAGTATATCCCCTTGTTTCCCTTCATCTGGGAGTTGAGCCAATATGCAGGTGCCGTGGTTCCTGGAAGGCAATCAGAAAATCACTGGAGGAGAGTGGGGATTGAACCAGTGTCTTGGTGAATGCCAGATATGCTCCATACCTCAGAGCCATGACATGAAAACCTATTCATCCTGGAACACTACTGCGTCCTCTAAGGATTCTGGGAGTCCCGTGTTGCCACAATCAGTTTTTACAAAAAGTCTGCATGCACTCTGGAGTAGGTATGGAGTTTTCCACCACTTTGCTTCCCTTTAAATACACAATTAAATCACAGTAGCCTGATATATCAATGGGAAAATTGTGGTTACAGTTCCCTGTTTGCTTGGGGGTGATCCTGAGGGTGAGCCTCCCTGCAACTCCAGGTTGCAATCCTTATACCATGTTGTGGTCTAGTCGCTAGAAGCGTGTGAGTGGGAACATCCACCAGATAGGTTCAATCCCTCATCACTGCTCTTACGGATTTTCTTATTGATTCAGTCACATTAGTGTGATTACTCTCTGTGTATTGAAAGAAGAGCATCAGAGGTATAACAAGTCCTAGATAACAGAGCCAGAGTGAACAGGGGGGATTGTGTGAAAATCATGTTCTGGCTTCAGTAGAAGCCTCAGGAAATCCTTGTGGGTTCAGTAGAACTCCAGGTTGCAGTCCTTATACCATGTCGTGGTCTAATCGCTAGAAGCCTGTGCGTGGGAACATCCACCGCATAGGTTCGAGCCCTCTTCACTGCTTCGGATTTTCTCATTGATGCAGTCATGTTAGTGTGATTACTCTCACACTTGAGCTAGCTGTTGCAGTTTCACAGACAATAGATTAACATTAACGATACTGAGAATGCTGTTGCCAATGCCCCCGCTCTTTCTTCTTAGCCTGTACTCATCTAGTTGTACTCACCTAGTTGTGCTGGCAGGGGTTGAGCTCTGACTCTTTGGTCCCGCCTCTCAACTGTCAATCAACTGCTGTACAGATTCCTGAGCCTACTTGGCTCTTATCATATCTACATTTAGGGTGTAGCCATGTAGTCTGTGTGCCATCCTCTAAGAGTTTGCTCACATCAACAACTTAGAGATTACTAGAATTCAGCTGCTTAATCCTGAGCTCCTGTTGTTATGAAATAACCTCACCATTCCTGCTTGAAAATGTACCCACACCAATTCAGAGGGTACTACTGCTAGCAACATTTACATCTTTGGCTTCCAATAACTGTATGTATCCTATCTGCATTGTTAGAGTATCTTAACAGTCCTACACTAGCTGTCTCACCCAGGCATTCTTGCTATGCTGTGGATCCTGACTGCCTCCAGTGAAGATTGTCACCAACCAAGGTTGGAAATTTGAATCATGCCTGTAAAAGGAACTGCTACAGTTTCTGGGAACCATATTAGATTGTGTAAGGAAAGGGTCTTTGTAATGAATATTTAAAACTGTGATAGTATGATGAAGGGAACATTTGAAACTCACACCAGTTCAGCAGCCACCTCTGCACATGCAGAGTAGTGTACCTTACATGAGTGAACTGGTCCTTCAAAAGAATATAATAACTGTATGTGCCATCATATAAATAATAAACAATTCCAACTACATTCTGTGACTGGAATCATGAGGAAAATGTAAGTGTTAAAAGTAGAAAAAGCAGTCCTAAACAAAATAAGAAAAATAAGGAAATAAGGTGTGGAACAAGAAAACAATGCAACACCTGGTGCAAGTGAGTAAACATGACCAGATGCTCGGTGACTTGAGTCAGAGCTGTTGTTGAAGATGGTCACTTCTTTGTTGATAAACCAAGTTGGCATGGTTGTCTTGAGTGTGGCTAGGTGCACAAACCAATTCGTTTTATTTGTGGTGTTATTTTTGTACCTTAGGGTAGGAATGATTATTTACATGTCCGAGTGGCAGCTGGCAATTGTGTAGAATTCTCCGTCATTTGTGCTTATTGTGGTTTACTTGTGTTTACTATCATTTTGTATCACATAGCTTGAAAACTTTTATTCATCTACATTTGGTAATTTCCAGTGTAAAGTAGAGATAACAGTGACCTAGACCCAAGTAAGAGCACTCTTCAAGTGTAGTAAATTCCAGTGTTAATATTGTAGCATGAGTCTTAGAATACAGTACAACTGTTTTGAGTAAGTCCAAGTTTTGTGAAACTAATAATCCCTTGCAGTTATCTTATCCAGCAACACTGAAGCCAAGTTCAAGATATACAGTATATATATTTTGCAAATTTTATCTAAGGTTACATAAATAAGCCCAGTGTAATTTCAGAAACTATTATTTACCCACTTGTTTTACTCTTTATAAAATACTGTACTTGAATTATAAAAAAGATAGGTTTCATGCATGGTAAGCATTTATGACCTGGTGTTCTGTTAGTGTTTTTTACAGTACCTTAGGGGAGGACACTATTCCATTATATTTACCCTCTTCTTTAGTAAGGGCAAATAGGAAAAAGCTCGTGCCCTTACAGATGCAACACAACCTATCAAGCTAACACGATGGTTGAACAATTTCACCACCAGCTGGAAGTAGCACTGTTAGTACAGCTCAGCCATACTGCATGGATGAACAACTGTTCCACGGTAATCCGAGGAACAACATGCAATCCGGTCAACAACATAGGAGGACAGTGAATTCTCATCAACTAACCTTACCTGCTTCATCACTCCTGCACCTTAAATCACTGCATCAGACACATCAGCCTTCTTGGAGTAGTGTTGAAGGGCTGTCAAATATTTATTCAGTACCATCTCCCTCTACTTGTCTGTATGCCCAATCTACAATACTCCATCACATCATTTCCACTAGACTAGCCTTGTTTATTACAATTCATGCCATTCATCAACTACAACAGCATCTGAATGGTAGACCAAGTCGTAGTAAAGACTCCAATGATCATCACCATCAACAACACAATTGATAGCATGATGGCGGCAGACTGTACCTCGACCCAACTCCATTCCTACCTTTTCCAGCTGATTGTCCAACACTTTTTACCCAGGGCAACAGGTCCCAGCCTTGTCTACACCACCAGCAGCCCCTTTCTGGCTGTACAGCCATTGGTTTCTTTCCACCTGCAGGTTCCTGACCCAGATTCAGAGCATGGTCTAATGACTTAGACGACTTCCAAGCAAATATGAATACGAATGGTTGCACATCACAAATGCACACAGTGAATTGTAATGTGAGATTTTTGGATTTTCTAATGTCGAGCTTGATGGACGGAGGGGGCTGTGAAATAATTTTACTTAGCTGAATTCTGTGCGGTGAAGCATTCTGTGCCTTTCTGACCAGTCAGCTATAAAAGGACCTATCATTGTACATTTACATCCTGTCTTACAGATCATATATCTGCAAATGACTATACAGTATGCAGGGTCACAACATTCACTCTTCCATCTGCTCCACATCTAGTAACATCACTGTCAACATGCCACCTCAATCATCTTCTGACTACTTCAGCTGACATGGCCACTGTTGCTGGCTACAGGTTGATTCCTGTGTCCACTTTAGTGTGTACTATATCGACAATATTCCGTCTGTTATTGTTAATCTGTGTTTTATCATCATCATGTCTGGTTATCCTCACAGATTACTAAAGGTAATTCAAGGGGGTTATTAATAATAGGGTGTTAAATTTAAATATCCAAACAATATAGAATACAAAACACTGTATTCAAATTGATTAAGCTTGTATTCAGAAATGACCTGGGTAAATACGGCACTTGTTTTGAAATAGGATATAAATTTTGAAATAAGGAAATACATTTCCTGGTACTATAGTATAACAGATGTAGGTTTGCTGTATTGTTTTAGGCATTGCTCAGACAAATATGAGTGGTTGTAGTTGAACATAAATAGTAACGTCTTTACATGGGCCATGTTCTTATGATGACGTAGTTCACCATTTACATTTGAGCTGGACCCAGCATAATTTTTCAAATAATTTTGTTATAAGTATTTAGTATTCTATTATAAGGCATAGCATTATGAATATAAAAAAAAATAGTAGAAGCCATGAGGAGGATTCAAACCTATGCTCTGGGTGCTCCTAAACACATGCCTTAGACCCAGGACCCACAGACCCACACCCAGTACCCAGAACACAGGTTCGAATCCTCCTCACAGCTTCTACTGATTTTCTCAATGATGCATCACGGTAATGTGATTTCCTTGTGCATGAGGCTGAATATCGTTGTTGATTCTTCATTTTCAGATGTATGGGTTGGGTGTCAACTCTTCAGCCATGTTCTTGTTACTCATCATCTACATTATGAATATGCCAGATACATCTCATATGAAAATTACAGTGATGCATTAATATACAGTATTTAAAAAAGATCGCTTGTAGCATTTTGTTGAACTTTTTATTTTTGACAATGACAATTTTATTTAGGGAAAAGTACATACATACAAAATAAGTTACAGGCAGAATGTTGGATTTCTAGATAGAGCCAGTATATACTATGCCTAAAGCCACTAGTACGCATAGTGTTTCGGGTAAGACGTGTAAAAATAAACTTAAAAATTAAGACTTAAAACTAAGTGAGAACGTTGGGAAGAATTAAACTGAAGTATAAAAAAAAAAAAAGACAATAATTACATCTTGAATGGAACAGCAGAAATTGCAACAGATAGTAATTTTAACTGAATAAACAGATGGAATACAATTTTCTTTAAGTTTATACATGGCAAATATCAACAGTTTTATAAATTGAATCATTAATCATCAATGTTTGATAATAGCAAGACATAGGTTGACATTTTGGAGGTAAGGTAGGTTACATGGAGTTGATGAAGTATTACTTAGTGTTTCTCTTAAATGAGTTGAGAGATGGATGGTCTTTGATGTAATTGGGAAGGTCATTCCACATTTTGGGACCCTTGATTTGCAGAGCATTTCTACTTTGGTTAAGTTGCACTCTTGGAATATCAAATAGATATTGTTATATCTAATAAATACATAAATAGATATATATATAAATATATTTTATATGGTTAACATTTTGTATGATTGAAAGCCAATATATGTATTGGGTACTTATGAGATGGTTTGGAGAGGTTCAGTAGGCTGAACTCCATTGACTGATGTCCCAGACTAATATAGCGTTTATCAGTTCGATAGCTCCAGTGAGCCTCCGGGGCTCACCCAGAAAATAACGTTTCATTACATTCAATGTTGGTTTTTCTTGGAGCCCCATAGTGGCTCACTGAAGCTTCCTCACTGAGATGACTCCCCGCTACTGGATCACATCATCGCAGGAGTCCTCTTTGGTGTATCAGAGATCAGTCAATACCTGTCCCCGTACAGAGGTACAGGAAGCAAGGGATGACTATCATCACCCTCACTGGGAAAGCATCCATAAAGTCAGCAAAACTTTACAGACAACTATAAAGTTCATAAAAGAAGCATCAAAATAGCTAAACTACAGTACTACTCTACAAGTAATTCGCTCATAACAATTGGTTCCCTCAAAACTAGCTAAGTCATGTTAGTACTGATGGCAATTACTGGGTGGCCCAGAACCCCAGGCCAACATCTGGCTCCCAGGTCAGTACTGATGTTGACTAACCTACTAGTGTGTGCTTCAGGTCCCCAACTGTCGCAGTGGGTCACACTTTCCCAGCTGAGTGCCAGCTATCCTTCAGACTTTGTCCTTCAGGGGCCATTTGTTGTGTATTGTTCTTTTAGTATTTACCTCACTAGAGTGTGTTTTCTTCCTGACAATCTTGCATGGACTTGCCAATTTTTACACTTTGAGCTGCATAAACTCAGGGTGACCCTTCCCTGGGTGCTCACCTAGCTTTGCCCCTGCACTGTCAGAGTTACTTCTTTGGTGTGTTTGGGAGTTCACCCCATTGAGGCCTGACCACTAGGATGGAGGTGCCCCACTTCAGGCAGTGCACGAGTCGTAGACTCCTCTGTGTAGGCCTTGGGCTGGGGTCGTCCTAATTGGTTGTGTGGGGGTGCGCTAGGGTACATAATGGCTTGTTTATATGGCATGCTGTGGACACCACTTGTAGCCGAGTTGTTTGTAGGCTGTGTTCAGTGTCTGTTCTTTCGGTGGGCATCCCTATTGCCTGGGTGCACTATTTTACTAGTCACCTTCAGGCCCTGATCATTTTTCCTGTGGGTCATTATGGATCAACACTTCGAGTCTACACTCACTATACCCTGCTGCCGGTTAAGTCAATGATACTTTCAACCCCCTGAGTCCTGCAAAGGACTCACTTTGGATCTCCATTATATCTGAACCAGCTTCTCATCAGGAAGCCTACCAGGCAACTGCTGCTTTACGGGTGAGAGTTTCTCATATTGGAGGTTCATGGTTTGGAAGCCCTGGAGTTGGCCCCTATGGTGTTTGGGAATCCAGAATTGGAGGTATTGGTGAACTCCACCTTGACTAAATCCACACCACAGGTGGAAGGGCTCAGAGGTTAACTTGTAGTGTAAATCGACCATCTCCAGAGGTGGCCCATCCACTTCAACAATGGAGGCAGTTTGGTTGTCTCTTCCTACTGGGCAAGAGAAAAGTACAGTAATTTTGTACTTTTAACTTACAAAATCATTGTTGTACTTGGTAAATAATGTATTGCAGTGTTTTGCAGGACTTCAGATTATAAAGCAGATTTTTCTGACTAGAATCATGCACAATAAAACAGCTTGTAATTTCAAAATGTTTAACACTCTGTCCTATACACTGTATTCAAATAAACTTTGTATGATATGCTGTAATCATAAATTTGTAATCTCTTTCAGGCATTCTGGGATTCGACATGACTATGAATATAAATGCATCAAGTGAAGGCAAATACAGTGTCTACTATTTCTCCAATTGTCGCAATTCCAATCAGGATGTTCAATGCTCAAAGTGTCTCTACAAGATTAGTGACTACTATAATGAGGTGAGTTGTCTCTAGACAAACAAATGGATGTATGGTTTTTTTTTTTTTTATATACAAGATATATATATATATATATATATATATATATATATATATATATATATATATATATATATATATATATATATATATATATATATATATATATATATATATATATATATATATATATATATATATATATATATATATATATATATAACTAGTTTTCAGTTGCATATGTCCTGGGGACCATTCAGGCTTGTTCGCATATATATATATATATATATATATATATATATATATATTTATTTTGTCTGGTCGTGATGGTCGAGTGGATAAGGTGCCCTGTACACCAGTTGCATAGTGCTCTTGGCAGTATTGGTTCTAGTCACTTCTGGGGGTGTGAGTTTTCAGTTGCATGTATGCCTGGGGACCATTCAGGCTTGTTCGCATTTGTGTTCCTCACGTGTGCCCCAAAGAATGAGGTGATTTGATAAAATACTATGCCCAAGATTACCATCAAAGTGCCGGTGGGCTGATGGGAAATAGCCTCGGTTACCATAGGCTTTTGTCCAGTCATGATGGTCGAGTGGATAAGGTGCCTTGTACACCAGTTACATAGTGCTCCTGGCAGTATGGGTTCGAGTCACTTCTGGGGTGTGAGTTTTCAGTTGAATGTATGCCTGGGGACCATTCAGGCTTGTTCGCATATATACAAGAGTTCTTACATTCTTGTACAGCCACTAGTACACATAGTGTTTTGGGCAAGTCCTTAATCCTAAGTTCTCTGGAATACGACCCCCGCAAAGAATCGGTTTTACAACCAAGTACCCATTTTACTGTTGAATTAAACATAGGCTACAGTTAAGGATTTGCACCTAGTAAATCCTCCCCGGCCAGGATACGAACCCAGGACAAAGCGCTTGCGGAACACCAGGCGAACGTCTTATCACTACGCCATGAAGACTTAATGTGTCTATCCTATCTGTGGCAGCACAGATAGGATACTGAGTGGACCACTCGCCAATGGAAGTGCTGCCATTTCAGAGGGAAAAAATGGTGATTCTTTTATTTTTCAAATCATATTTTATTTATGCTTCAATAGATATTATATATTGTCATTTGGTACACCTTCGAAATTTCTCAAACGTGATATTGTGTTCAATGTTTGTTGTTTCTGGGAGCCTCCCTTGGTATTTCTCTTGAGTTACACAGTTGTAAATTTTCAAACCTTCAGTACCACACCAGGATCTTAACGATCCATGAGTGCCTACCTCGATAGAGTGCCTTCAGTAGAGAAAAAGGTGAGTCTGTGGATCCAGGACTGCTACTGTAACCAAGTCAAAATACCAGAAATTAAGAGTGCACCTCCAACAGACAAATGGTGTTATTACATTTGCAATAATGACCTTAACTAAGTAAACAATCATTATCTGGGTGGAACTACTGGTCCATAATATCATATTCCTGATATTAGAGTACTGAAACCTTATTTTGTTTTGGCTCCCTACTTTGTGAATATGTGAATGTTTAGCTTGTATGCCTTGCTGATTTTATGAAAAAATAAAATTTATTACTGCAGTTGATTTCAAATGTTTATAAAGAATAAAATACTTCCAAGTAGAATCAATGCTGAATTTGTAATACTTTTAAGTTTCTATTAATTTATGTCTAAACATTTCATATACTGTAATCATTAACTTATGTACATGTATATCAAACTCTCCACAGTGCAGTATATATTTTAATCTTAACAGAACTCATCAATTATGGCCAATGCTGAAAAGATTCACATCCTGGATGAGCCAAAGTGTGGCTATGATGGACTGAAATGCCCTAATGCGGGTAAAGGTTTCCAAAAACACATTGCCTGGGTCATGGGTGGACTCCTCATCATGTGCACCTTTATCTCTACCATTTTATACCGGAACTGGAAGTATGAACAAGAAATCGTTGGTTTGCAGTGGCGTATCAATCAGGTGGACCTGGTACTGAGTAATCACACTTCTGCTGGGAGTAGGGTACGTGAGGCTGGCTTATACTCTACTTCTTCTTCCCTAACCAGCAGGGTACGTAAGTATTCTTTCAGTCCCCTGCACCTCTGTTTTCTATATGGGCATCGTTACGTACTGAATACTTTTTTTATTTTAAAATTTTATCTTTGTTCGTATATCTATGGTCTTGGTGCTTAAACTTATTATTTTATAATCTTTGTCTTATTTATTCAATTTATTGCAGTATTGTTACCTTTTTCAGTGGTCTTTTCTGAGAGGGCTTTTGTTGGTGTCTTCCTGAAGCTAGCTGCTTGGTTAGCTCCAAACCTATCATGCACCACTAGGTACTTGCAAGTCATAAAAGCCCTCCAGAGACAGAAGCAAAATCTGTTTGATTCAGTAGAGGCACCAGGTTAGTGCGGGTCATGGTGACCTAGCTTCATTTTTTAGGGGTTCAGGTGTTGGCCTACCTCAGACGACTGAGTGGTTGGGGCCCTCCCACCGAGCCAGTTCATATGTCAGCTGGCCAGGGATCTGAATTTTCCCAGCTTGCTGGGTTCAGGTTCCTGGTGAACTAGAAGTAGTCCCAGTTGGTTCTATCTAACGTTCAGACTTGGCTGGGCCTCATTTAGTCCTCTTGGTTGGCAATGCTTTCTCTTTCTCCGGCAGCCTTGCTCCATTTGTACCTTTGTCACAGCCTGGTGCTGGATCAGTCCCAGGTCACTCTGTGGTTGGTCGAGTGGTTTTGCAGGAGCCATGATTGGCTCAGAGCTAACCTGGCAGCTAGCTTCAAATAGCCACTGAAGGAATCCACCAGAAAGAGGCGTTTCAATGCATTGAATGTTGAACTTATTTGTTTTTTGTTTTTTTTTATGGCAAATTTGTATTTATATATCTTACTTTCTACAGTATGCTTAAAGCTTTATTCTCTTGTTTAATTTTAAAGCATTTTGCTGTTTATATAAATTTTTAAAATCACAAAATTGCTAGTGTAGCACTTTAGGAATATTGCTTTTGTCTTGATTATAGAAGTTATAGCATAAGATATTTGATTTCAATCACATATACTGTACATGTTTCTAGCTTTTTTTTTTTATCTGTGAAATTATTTATTGCACTAGAACATTGATTTTAGAAGATAAAGATTTAAATATGAATAATCTTGATTACTGTAAAAAATTTTTTTAACTAATGTCAGGTGTGCAAGATGTGACAGAGTTTAGAACCATTTATAAACATTTCTGTACTGTTCACCTGTTTATGGTTAAACATAATTTGTATACGTAAACATGCATAAATGATTGTCTAAAGTGTGTGACACAATTATCCAGACCAATAAGTACCTCCTGATGTCTGATGATCTGAAAATCTAGCTAATTGTTTAAGATAGCATAATTGTTTAGTAATTCTTTTTTATTTTGACATTTATTTTAACAGAAACATGTACTGAATTAATTTTAATGGGAATGTTTTAATAGGAATGAACTAACTTATATGTAGGAAACCAATTAATTTTTTGTGTTATTTGGTATAAATTAATGTCCGCTGCTGCCCAATCACAAAGCAACTTTTCAAATAATTGGGGTTAATAAGGGTTAATGAGCATGGAAAATCAGAAACTTTTATGCTGGAAAATCCAAGAATCCAAGAAAGAAGGATCCAGATAATTGTTTTCCAGTGTGCAGTATACTGTAATGCTGTACAAAGAATGAAAATTTGTGCATTGAAAGTAATGAAATGCTCATTTCTTGAAGGCCCATTCAGTAGCTCCTAAGTCCCTTAGAAAATGCACAGAATATCTGAAGTCCACACGGACCCACCAGGAAACGGCCAGAATCAAGCTCTCTCTATGAGGTGAGTGGAGCTTAGTGATCAGAAATCCACCTAAAATTGGGAAAACTAAACAGAAAGGTTAGGCAGAAGAAAACAAATTACTGTTTGAATGATAGAGATGAACAATTAGAAAAACTAGGCTGCAGACGAATAACCCTAATCCTATGTGCCTGACCAGCCAACCATCTCTTACAAGGTGTTAAATGTTGAAAAACAGTCTGGAACTCTTGTTGAACTCTTGCATTTGGAATCCCTACCAGTACAATAGTCAGTTCTGTACATGTGCAGAGCATTGTCATAGCAGGAAAGGGTCATTGAAAAACAGCCTGGATCTTTTTAAGACATACAAATGAACTATTTAGGGATACAAGTGTGTATGAAAAATTATTGGAACCGGGCAGTTTGACACAGATGCGCTAGCGGTCTAGTGGACGCTGTGGTGGGCAGGACGAAGAGTAGACCGGTCGTCACTTGGATGACGGGCGATGGTCTCCTACAATAACAATGAGTGCATTGTTCTCATACATGCTATAGTGGTGGTCATTCTGTGTTATTTAGTGATAGGCAGTTTTAAATGAAGTTTGTTTATAGAACCCTGTGTGTAGGTGGTGTTTTGTGTTATTTTGATTCATTCACTTATATTTCTTTGACATGTGGTCTATACCCCATCAACCTTGGTCCCTATTTGTAAAGTGTTTAAGTGCCAGGATTTTGTGTATGATTAAAACTCATGTTACCTTTATAGCTCACCAAGGAAGTGTACAATAGCATGATGACCTTACGTCCCAGTTTGTGTGGATCCAATAGTCAATGCATCCCTAAGGCTTGTGTGTGCTGAAAAGTATCCCTCTTAATCTCAACAATCCTGTAACATAACATAAAGTGCCTCACATTTATTGAGTGCTAATTAATGCTGTGTTGCTCAATAAAACCCAGTTGTGAAATTGTACCCAAAGGTGTGTTTCTTGCCCCCTGTAAAATAAGATTTATTGTCGGTCAAGTGTCTTGTGGAGTATATACATATATATCCCTCCCATTATATATTCAAAAGTAAGAACTGGTTTTTGTTAGTTGCACTCTAGAGGACAGCTTTCAAGCCCGTAACTTACAGTGAGGAAGAAGGGAGCAGTGCAGGGATGGGTTGAAACTGAGGGGTTGCCAGCAAAGGGCATTTTTATTGCATTAAATGTTTGATTTCTGGGAATGCCCTCTCAATAGCTTCCTGATGCTGATGCCCAGCAACCAGAAGCAAGGGTCAACAAGAAGACACCCTTAAAAAAGATTTTTCAGCAGAATGGGACAGAAAAGAAGGAACCCGGGCCATAGACCAAGAAGGCACAAAAATGCAAAGACAGTATGTCCAGGGCAAAAGCTAACAAGAGTGTCTGGTAAAACCAAATGATATGAGGTGGCAATATTTAACATTATCAGACAGTCCACAAAAAGCCAGGAAGGAAAAGACTTTGCTACCGGAATCAACAATGACGATAAATGGTGGAAAGACAGGAAAAGACAAAAAGCCACCTGTTTCCTCTGCAGATGGCAGCACACCTGACATGAAAAGTTCACGTGCAAAGATCAGTCGAGAACCTTGAACCTTTGAGAAACATCTAATTGATCCAGTGAAAGAGACAGAGCCTTGAAAAGATGTGAAAGCCCAGAAATGAAGGCTGAACAAACTACCAAGGAGCCAGAAAGGCCACCCTGCAGATATAAGTCTCCAGTCTAAAAAGAACTGTGAGAAGAACTTGCAGCATGCACTGTAAATGCCTCATGATCCAGAAAAAGGGCAAAATACAGCAAAAGCCTCCAGTTCCATGATGAGGTGAAGCAGTCCACCTACAGACAACTAAATGTCTGCAGTAGCTTAAGGTGGGGAACATCAGTACCTACACCTGAGTGATGGTGTGTATTTTGTAAAAATTAGATTGTGGGTATCAGCTGGTGCTTTTCAAACTTCAAGTAAGTCTAGTAGAATTTCTGAGTGGGATACTTTTAAGCCTATCATAGTACAGTTGATAGTGTGTAGTTGGATAATTTGGATGTGGTTAGTTAGTGAGAGTTATATAATCAACAAACAAACAAATGAACAAATATTAAGTGAACGGTTAAGGCGCGTCTGGGATCCTCTCGGACGTAGGTTCAAACCCTCATCAAAGCCCTTGTGGATTTGTTCATTTGATGCATCATGCTATTGTGATTTCTGTGTGTATTGGATAATCATTATGATTAGAATATCAATGATGATAATAGAGTAAAATTAATTTAGTATGTTATAATTAGTTCTTGCAATATGCTAATTAATGGAGATAATTAAGTAGATAATTAAAACAAAATTATTTGGAAATATCCTTAGCAGTTTTAGCTGTTTAATCATGTAATACTAACAGTTGTGGTTTGGAGTAACTTGAAGGCTCAGTCATCATCAATTGATTTGCAAAATGAGGTGATAATTTTTGTCCTGTAATTTCAATAGATAGCTTACTGATGATGAATCTTCATGAATGTGTTATTAAAACTTCATCCCCATTTTGTTCTCTCAAAGTGGCTGCTCTATTCCAGGCCAATGTACAGTAGAGTAAGGTACAGTAGAGTAAGAGTAAACTCTATGGTCTCTTGTAATTTGTAGAATTAAGTATCAAATACTACGCATGTGATTTTGATCAAGATAAAACAATTATATCACCAGGGAATGAGACCAGCAACCTTTGCCTCATAATAGCATCAACATAGCTTGAATATTCACTATTGATTATTAACATGTTTGCTTTAACATTTAGTGTTCTTTTTCATATATCATGCATTTCTGGGGGAAACCCCCGAGTGGCTCCCTGAAGCTACTATACTGATATAGTACCAGACTACAAGGTGCCATCAGTCACTGAGCTCTTATTGGCTTACCGAGGACTACAAGCCAGGACTTGGTCTCCCTCGGAGAGACACAGGGAGCAGTGACACTATGACAAATTTTATGTAAATTTATTCATGTCTGCCATCCCAAGGAAATGTACCCAGAAAGTCAGCAAATCAAAACAGACCACTGTTTAGCTAGAAATGAGACTGCAGCCTGAAAACAGCCAAATGAACTTCCCCCCAATAATGTAAACAAACTATTGAAAATTTGTGAATCTAGTGCAAGATAGTTTGCTCCCACCTCCTTCCTCCTCTCGTTTAGGAAAAGGAGGGAGGCGGACCAGGTCAGCCGGGTCTGAAGTGCAGCCCACATCTGCTGCAGAGAGTGACAAGGGGCTCCCCCCAGAAAACCTAAAAAAACTCCTAAAACGTTTGTCCACGATTAAGCCCCCACACCCACCATGGAGCTACAATTAGAGGACATGGAACCCAACAAAACGGGACCCCTCCCAGCGGTGCAGTGTGGACATATTCCCCACAATCGTTACCTTAAGAACCATCAGAGATCGGGTTTGTTGAGATCTGGTTCAACAATGATGGTAGGGTTTGATGTAAAAGTTTTCCCCTTGCTCAACCATGTCAGGTACTCCAGTTCTCTGGACAAGAGAAAGTGCCAACTCAACTCACTCGGCATCAGAAAAAAGAAGGCAACTGAATGAATATTCAAGAACAGAACCAAGTCAACAGGAAGGAACAACCAGAAAGGAGAAGTGGTGGAGAGGAAAATAAGAAAGAAACCAAAGGAAGAGAAAAAGGGATCCAGCAAAATGAATGAAGAAAGCTGCAGGAGTACAAGGGGGTAAAAGGACAGGTGAAACGCCATCACATGACCATGACACTGACAACTGCCCACCAATGCCGACAATGGGCTGGATAGACAGGGCAGGGATGGATGGAAAGACAAGTGGATGGGTGGATAAACAGATGGATGGATGGGTAGATATATGGACGGATGGATAGATAGATGATTAGATGGATGTTTGTACAGATAGATGGATAACCAGTTGATAGATGTGTGGATAGATAGATGGACAGGTAATGGATAGATCAATGGTTAGTTGAATAGATGGATGGATAGATGGAGAAATGTTTGGATAGGTAAATTAATGGACAGATGGGACAGACCCAGGTAACACCAGGTACTGCCCTCCCCCCCTCCCCTTTTGTACACACAAACACACACACACACACACACACACACACACACACACACACACACACACACACACACGCACACACACACACACACACACACACACACACACACACACACATACACACACACACACACACACACACACACACACACACACACACACACACACACACACACACACACACACACACACACACACTCACACTCACACTCACACACACACACACACACACAGTCAAGGATAAGACTAAACTGGAAAAGGTTCAAAGGTTTGCCACCAGACTAGTACCCGAGCTGAGAGGTATGAGCTACGAGGAGAGACTACGGGAATTAAACCTCACTTCGCTGGAAGACAGAAGAGTTAGGGGGGACATGATCACCACATTCAAGATTCTGAAGGGGATTGATAGGGTAGATAAAGACAGTCTATTTAACACAAGGGGAACACGCACAAGGGGAAACTGAGTGCCCAAATGAGCCACAGAGATATTAGAAAGAACTTTTTTAGTATCAGAGTGGTTGACAAATGGAATGCATTAGGAAGTGATGTGGTGGAGGCTGACTCCATACACAGTTTCAAGTGTAGATATGACAGAGCCCGATAGGCTCAGGAATCTGTACACCTGTTGATTGACGGTTGAGAGGCGGGACCAAAGAGCCAGAGCTCAACCCCCGCAAACACAACTAGGTGAGTACAACTAGGTGAGTACACACACATACATACATATACATACATACATACATACATACATACATACATACATACATACATACATATATATATATATATATATATATATATATATATATATATATATATATATATATATATATATATATATATATATATATATATATATATATATATAATATAATGTTTGTATGTTAGTAATATAAGAGCTGAAACAAGGAAGCACTGTAAGTCTATGGTATGCAAGAGAGGACTGTGTTTGCTGACAGGCGCTGCATGTTTTGGTTGAATGGGACCCCCTGGTATGTAAGGATATAAAATTAGCCACCCATACGACTGTGTGTATACAAACGTAGTGCTGGTCATATTATGGAGGACTGTTGAGCAAGTTCAAGTAACTGATGACGGTACAAAAATCAGGACCTGGGAAGGTGTTCGTAAGTAGGTGACCCCCCCTGTACATTTATGTATATACGCATTACATGTTGTATTGTTTAAAGATACACACACATACATTTGCTACATATTAGGTAGTACTTTTTGTGTATTTTTTAATGTTCTGTTTTTATACAGACAAATGCCGGGAAGAATACTGATTAATTAGATCATTTTTGTACAGTATTGCGTTCCACGTTTAATTATCAAAAGCAACATTAAAAGTTTTTTATGCTTCAGTTCCAATTCTGACTGGTTCTTTTTTAATAATAAGTCATAAAATCATTTAAAATATAGTCTGATACAGGATATCAAAATTTATTAGTAATCTTGATTTCACTTTTCTTCCACACAGCAAAGTCTGGTAAGTGCAGTCTCGTATGACCTACATGGACAGTGGTATCAAAACTTGGGTAACTACAAAGGCACTATGGTCTGCCTAAAGGCAGTACCCTTGAATCAGAAGAGACCAGACCTGAGCAGAAACACCATGAAAGAAATGAGGTAGCTTACTTTACACATTTTCACCCTCTTTAATTATTTTTTACAAGCAACACATTATATATTTTAATTTGTGTTTATTGTGGACTGTTCATTCCTTTTTCCGGGATAATCCTCAGTAGCTTCCCTAGCTATATCACTAGGAGTACCAGTGATATAGCACAGGAAATTGCACCACTCCCCTGAAAACCACCATAGCCTAACAATTCATCTGATCGTGGGGTGTTTGACTTCTCAGCCAAACATTCAAATTGTTCAGATTCCTCGATGGCCTTAGGCTGCAGGTGGCAGCAGATGGGGAGGCTGGTATGCACACCCTTAGGGGCTGCTTTGCCTTAGGGTCTTGATGAAGGCAGCAAAGCCTTCCATCTCCTCTTCATCCCCTTATTTCTGTGGGACATGGCCAAATATTTGCATCCTATGATTTGGGATGTGAGGGGCTCCTTGCTAATGCTGTCTCTGCCTTAATGCTTGCAGGACAGATCCAGGAATTACTGACTCTGTCCATGGTCCTTCTTCTTCTGTGGGATGGGAGTACAGCCCGAGAAATGTGGGGTTTCTGGAGGAAGGTCTATGGTTTTCTTTTGACTGATATTTGGTGCCTGACTCAGAAGGTTTGTTGTTATGAATATGTAGGTTTTCTTATCTCTCCTCTCATTACAAACTAGATTCCTTTGCTACCACAGGGTCATTTGTTTGTTCCAGTTTGTGGCTTGGAAATGCCCCTGCTATGCCGGTTTCGTTTGGCTTTGTTTTTTACCTGGTATCTTTACCATACATTTGAACTCTCCTGTGTATAAGTTTTCTTCCACTTCCTGGTGGCAGTACAAGGTCTCAGTTTCCTCGTGGGTAGCAGATGTTTCTTGGACAAGTGACAGACTTTTTTTGTCACATTTGTGTGTTTGACTGGAAGATGATAGTCTTCATTTACCTGTTTTTTCTTGAGAGTTTCTTTTTTGCAGTGGCTGGCTGCACTCTGTTTATGCCTGACTTTTCATGTGATGGTGGGGTTTAGTAACTAAATACTGTACATGTTCAGGCATCCAAGTTTATCTTTGCTTTGATTACAATAATAAGGCGTGCAATTGCTTGGCAGTGATTCGCCATTTCAGTGCGGGGAAGAGCAATTTCACCTAGCAGTATATAGGTACCCAGGCGGTAGTCAGCTTATTGTGGGGTTGCATCCTGAGAAAGGTTAGTACTTTGACCCTGGAGGTCAAAGACCTTGATATATAGGACCTTGATATAAACCTAACATGTACTGCATGTATATACTGTACTGGCTGCCTGTCCCCGGACACAATGAATTATTATTATTCTAATTATTATTGTTATTTAGAATAAAAACCTATGTTGTTATGTCTGTGAAAAGACATTACCATTACTAATACTACTACTAATTATTATTATTATTATTATTATAATTATTATACTGGAGTGAACAATATAGAAGGAAATGCAGAATAGAGCCAGTGAAGAGTAGAGGTACCATTGGCACAATCAGAGAATGCTATGAACTTCAGATATCCACGGTTGTTCAATATCCTTCCAGCAAGCATAAGAAATATTGCTAGAGCAAAAACAGAATTCAGGAAAAGACTGGACAGTGTTCTACAAGAAGTGCTGAATCAACTTGGCTATACTGGATATTTAAACCTGCGTATCACTACAAGCAACAGCCTGTTGGACCAGACTCTCACAAGTCAAGTCTGGCCCCAGACCAGGTTTCAAAAGCAAAAGAACTCCCAGAACCCCATCCATGCACAATCCAGGTCAGTTTGTCATGGGTTCATCAGCTTCAGGACTAAGGTGGAGAATCGAATGAGGGCTGGGCCACCGGGTGGTGGTAATTGGTACAAACGAGTTTCAAGTTAGTTTGAGTGAATCTCTTGTTCTATGTGAATCATTTGCATGGTTGTTTGGTGGTTTTGAGGCTTTATTTTCTGTAAACCATCCAATTGTCTGTAAAGCTTCACTGTCTTTCTGGACGCTTTTTCCAGAGGGGGTAGCAGATTGTCAGCCACTCCCTGCACCTCTGTGAAGGGGCCAGGTTCTGGCTCTGGTCCCCAGTAAGCCAAACAGAACTTTCACATCTTATGTGATCCTTTAGTATGAAGTAATCTCAGCCAGATAGCTTTAGGGAACCACTGGGATTCCACCAGAAAAAGGCAATTCATTACATTCAACACTGGATTATTATGTACCAATTTACGAATTTTATAGCCATCAGTGTATTTTTTTAATGTTAAAAAGAAACCTGAGTAATATTATATATTTTTTCAGAAATATGCGGGAAGTTAAACAAGACAATGTTTGTGCCTTTATTGGTGCATTTGTGGAGCACAGAAAGTTGACACATGGGGATCATAACAAGGTGACACTAGTAACAGAATACTGCACCAGAGGATCATTACTTGACATACTTGCTATGGAAGACATTAAGCTTGATTCTCTCTTCATATCCTCCCTTGTCCATGATCTCTTAAGGGTAAGTGTAAATTTATGAATTAAATCAGGTTCTCATCCAGGATTTTGCATTGTAGGAGATATAGATGGTTGGAAGAGCAGGATGTTTTTGATGGGAAATGAATGTAAAGTGTGAGGCAGTCAGTGAATTTGGGATGAAAGATGGTGTCTTGGTAGTATCTGTGTGCCTTTCAGAGTTCTTGGACGAGTAATACTAGGGCATTCCGGAGCCTGACTTGGAAGTGGTGCTCCAGGACTCCTCAGGTGTCCTTGTGTTCTGAGCAGATTTCTCTTCAACCTCCTCCCACACCTGCTAAATGTTGGACAGGGGGGTGATAGTGATGACCTCATTCCTCTGACCTGCTTCATGCTTCAACACTGCTGCAAAGAAATATTCTTGAAAGCAAGAGTTGATCCTTGATTTGCATTTGGGTAAAGGAATTGGTTCTCTAGGAAATACCTGTATTATAAAAGGCAGGTTAACGAAGGCAATAAGTTCTGACAGCAATATAGCGAGGCACCAAACTGAGAGAAACTATACAGTTACATTTGCATGTAGCTTTTATAGAAGTTCCTAAAGTGCATATTTATTTGTATGTGTGTGTGTGTATGTATATATATATATATATATATATATATATATATATATATATATATATATATATATATATATATATATATATATATATATATATATATATATATATATATACATATATATATATACATATATATATATACATATACATACATACATACATACATATACACATATGTCGTACCTAGTAGCCAGAACGCACTTTTCAGCCTACTATGCAGGGCCCGATTTGCCTAATAAGCCAAGTTTTCATGAATTATTTGTTTTTCGACTACCTAACCTACCTAACCTAACCTAACCTAACTTTTTTGGCTACCTAACCTAACCTAACCTATAAAGATAGGTTAGGTTAGGTTAGGTAGGGTTGGTTAGGTTCGGTCATATATCTACGTTAATTTTAACTCCAATAAAAAAAATTTGACCTCATACATAATAAAATGGGTAGTTTTATCATTTCATAAGAAAAAAATTAGAGAAAATATATTAATTCAGGAAAACTTGGCTTATTAGGCAAATCGGGCCTTGCATAGTTGGCTGAGAAGTGAGTTCTGGCTACTAGGTACGACACATATATATATATATATATATATATATATATATATATATATATATATATATATATATATATATATATATATATATGATATATATATGATATATGATATATATATATGATATATGATATATATATGATATATGATATATATATGATATATGATATATATATATGATATATGATATATATATGATATATATATATATATATATATATCAGGCTGCAACACCTCTTACATAGGAATACATATCATTTTAATTCTTTAAATGTGTATATATTTTTCATTCCCATTGGGGTGCACAAAACATATGCATATCAAGTCATGTGTAATGCCATGTGTGCGTTTCTATTTCCCTCTTTCTTTTCCTTCTCTTGTATCCCTCTCATTTTATGAGGAAGGAAAAAGTGGAAAAGGATAAAATGAAAGGGGAAGGAAGTGGAAGAGGGAAGGGGTGGAGGTTAAAGAGCTCCCAACTTTGTATACAGTTAAAAACCTGCTATGACACCACAACATGTCTGAGATGCAAGAGAGAGAGTGAGTGAGTGAGTGAGTGAGTGAGTGAGTGAGTGAGTGAGTGAGTGAGTGAGTGAGTGAGTGAGTGAGTGTGTGTGTGTGTTAGTGAGTGTGTGACTGTATGACTGTGTGACTGTGACTGACTGAGAGACTGACTGACTGACTGACTGACTGACTGACTGACTGACTGACTGACTGACTGACTGACTGACTGAGAGACTGACTGACTGAGAGACTGACTGACTGAGAGACTGACTGACTGACTGACTGACTGACTGACTGAGAGACTGACTGAGAGACTGACTGACTAACTGACTGACTGACTGACTGACTGACTGACTGACTGACTGACTGACTGACTGACTGACTGACTGAGAGACTGACTGACTGACTGACTGACTGACTGACTGACTGACTGACTGACTGACTGGCTGACTGACTGACTGACTGACTGACTGACTGACTGACTGACTGACTGACTGACTGAGAGACTGACTGACTGAGAGACTGACTGACTGACTGAGAGACTGACTGACTGAGAGACTGACTGACTGAGAGACTGACTGACTGACTGACTGACTGACTGACTGACTGACTGACTGACTGACTGACTGACTGACTGACTGAGAGACTGATAGACTGACTGTCTGACTGAGAGACTGACTGACTGACTGACTGACTGAGAGACTGACTGACTGACTGACTGACTGACTGACTGACTGACTGACTGACTGACTGACTGACTGACTGACTGACTGACTGACTGACTGAGAGACTGACTGACTGAGAGACTGACTGACTGAGAGACTGACTGACTGACTGACTGACTGACTGACTGACTGACTGACTGACTGACTGACTGACTGACTGACTGACTGAGAGACTGACTGACTGACTGACTGACTGAGAGACTGACTGACTGAGAGACTGACTGACTGAGAGACTGACTGACTGAGAGACTGACTGACTGACTGAGAGACTGACTGACTGAGAGACTGACTGACTGAGAGACTGACTGACTGACTGAGAGACTGACTAACTGACTGACTGACTGACTGACTGACTGACTGACTGACTGACTGACTGACTGAGAGACTGACTGACTGAGAGACTGACTGACTGAGAGACTGACTGACTGACTGAGAGACTGACTAACTGACTGACTGACTGACTGACTGACTGACTGACTGACTGACTGACTGACTGAGAGACTGACTGACTGACTGACTGACTGACTGACTGACTGACTGACTGACTGAGAGACTGACTGACTGACTGCGAGACTGACTGACTGAGAGACTGACTGACTGACTGACTGACTGACTGACTGACTGACTGAGAGACTGACTGACTGACTGACTGACTGACTGACTGACTGACTGACTGACTGACTGACTGACTGACTGACTGACTAAGAGACTGATAGACTGACTGTCTGACTGAGAGACTGACTGACTGACTGACTGACTGAGAGACTGACTGACTGACTGACTGACTGAGAGACTGAGAGACTAATATGTATAAGGTTCAGAACCCATCGGGTTACATTATGTATAGTGGCATGCAATTATCATTATACAAAAAACACTCATTCTCTCTGTTTTATTTTGTGTATGTACTGAAATATGGAAATATATAATTGATATGTAATATTGATATAATAATATAAAAAATATAACATACAGCCCGCATTCAATACTGTATAGATGTTTAATATTTTTAAAATATAAAAATATTAACTCATGTCAGATTTATATTTACTTCACATTTTAGTAGGCTTAATTTTGTTTTTATTGCATTTTCTTTGAGTCCCTTGTAGCTGCCTGAAGCTTTCTCAGTGAGATGGTTCCCCAACTACTAAATCATATTAGATGCAGTTGTGTTTGGCCTACTGGGAACCACAGCCAGAACTTGGCCCCCCTCACAGAGGCACAGAGTGCGGGGCAACACTCTGACATCCCCTTGGGAAAGCATCCAGAAAGTCGATGAACCAATACAGATGCAAGGTTCAAAGAGACAGAAACCTCAAAACTGCCAAACGAACTCACCCAATATAAACAAACAATTGAATCTCTCAAAACTAGTGTTAGCTTGTTAACACTACACCACCACTGCCAATGGGATTGACCAGTGAGCTCCAGGTCTCTCCTAACTTTCCAAGCCTGCTTTGTTACTGATGTGGACAAGTTTAACCACTGTAGGGTTCCCGGCTAGTCGATAAGCTGCTCGAGTCCTGGTGCTTCTAAGTAAGTGCCGACTATCCTTGGACTTGGTTTTGCAGTGGGGCCATTTGTTTGTTATTCCATATTTTAGTTAGCTTTGTGAACATGGACCTGGCTTGTAGGGTGCTTGGAGCTTCCCTCATATCCATGATGTTCGTAAATATGTGGCATTTGCAGCAGTATTTACAAACGTGTCCTGGGATGATATTTGGGCACAGGTTTAGGCGGTCTAACAGGATCTTGGTGGTCCAGTATTTAGTTCATGTTCTCGGGCCTCATCATGTCCATCTTGCAGTTGGTTCGCTCTCTCAGCCAGCCATCTCTCTTTCATCTTGATTGACTGCAGTCTCCCCTCCCCTCCTTGCTAACTCCCTGGTCATGGGTAGTTAGCTCAACCCACCCTCTTAAAAATAATATCGTTTTTCGCTCGTATGCACACTATGGCCAAAAATGGACGTAATTTGAAATTAAATCAGCTTGTGTAAGTGATGTACTGTCCCGTTTTCTGTTTGAGTCCTCTGGTTTACTCAGTTAGGTTAGGAGAGGAAACTTTCAATTAACGGTTTTCATGACGTTTTGAAACCTTAGGAGAATTTCCTGCCCTTCTAACCTACCAGAAGACCCTTAACTTGCTGTTGTAGAAAAAAATCCAAAATTTCTTTTCAATTTTTTACTTTTCAAATTACTGTACGTCCATTTTTGGCCATACGGATAAACGGCCAAATTCAGACATAATTTGTAAGAGGACAGGTTGGGTTAGCTTCAGGGAGCCACAAGGTGCTTCCCCAGAAAACCAGCATTGAATGTAATGAAACTCCTCTTTCTGGATGAGCCCTGGTGGCTTCCTTATTCCTTCCCTTCCTTACAGGTTTGTTAGTTGATGTCTTTGCATCTGCTCCAGAACTGGCTTGGAGAGCTGGGGAAGACTGGACCTCTGTGTCACCCTACGGGCAGGAAGGGAGGGAGGGGGTCCATGCTAATAAGCTAGCTTCAAAGGATTTGATTATTTGTTTGCATTGTTTGGGGGGACTTCATATGCCAGTTTTGAGACTTCGGTCTCTCAACCCAGCAGTGGTCTGTATTGGTTCGCTGACTTTCTGGATGCTTTCCCAGTGGGGTGGTGGAATGTCACCTGCTCTCTGTGCCCCTGTGAGGGGGGGCCAGGTTCTGGCACTGGTCCCTGGGAGGCCATACCGAACTCCACAGCTGTGTGACCTAGTAGTTGGGAGCCAACTCAGCGAGATGGCTGCAGGAAGTCTCTGGGTCTCATCCAGAAAGAGGCATTTCATTACATTCAGTGCTGGTTTTTTCCAGGGTATGGTATTCTTACATTCACATTTTGGTGCTCATGGTAATTTGAAATCATCAAATTGTGTTGTGAATGGGAGGTGGGTTCTCCAAGTTACTGATTATGGCCTTCACGATCTACGCTGCGAGACTCTTCGTAGCCTGGAAAAAGATGATCGTGGTCAATTTGACAGACGTATGTATTCGTATTTTCTCTTGTCGTTTTATATTTATGTGGTTTAGATACTTTTACTAATTTCTGAGCTATACCACTCGGTTGCTCTCTTCCACAATATCATGCTCTTCTCTAGGACAGGAAGAGCACGGGAAGAGTGGGAAGAGCTCTTCCACAGACACACAGTCAGGACAGATAAACAATCTCAATGCTGTACATTGAAGAACTTGTCAGATATCTATGCTGGATCATACTGGGTAGGAAAAACATTAGCAATGTAACATGTATTGTGGTCCATTAACATAGCAGTCACAACTATAACACCCCATCACTGTTGCAATCATTACAGAACTAAATAGAACATATCCAATACTTTTCATTCACCTTTGGATGAAACCACTTGGGAGGGATGATAGAGCGACGGTCTCACTTCATGCAGGTCAGCGTTCAATCCCTGACCATCCAAGTGGTTGGGCACCATTCCTTTCCCCTCCCCATCCCATTCCAAAACCTTATTCTGATTCCTTCCAAGTGCTATATAGTCATAATGGCTTGGCACTTCTCCTGATAGTTCCCTTTCCTTCACCTTAGAATGATATAGACTAGTAATGGATTGTCCAAAAAAAAATAAGGCATTGAATTTCTAGGGGAAAGCCCCTTGTAGCTCCCTGGAGCTATCTTGTCGAGATTGCCCCTAACTACTGGATCACATCAGCTGTGGAGTTTAGTTTGACTTGCCAGGGTTCAGAGCCAGAACCTGGCCCTTCCCTCACAGAGGTGCAGGAAGCAGGTGACACTCCGCTACCTCAGTTTAGAAGGCACCCCGAAAGTCAGTGAACCAATACAGACCTCTGATGGGTTCAAAAGAGACCAAGGCCTCTCAATGAATGAACTCAGTGAATGAAACCCACTGAATGAACTCCCCAACAATGTAAACAAATTACACAAAATTTCTTGAAACAAGTGTGCACTCGTTTGCCCCAGCCATCCCACTCATTTGGAGAGGGAGCGAGGGAAGTCGGGGCTCATGCTGTCCACTCGCACAAGACCTCAAATCCTCTGCTGATGTGATGCCTTCCAGATGTCTGCAGTAGGGCCCCGGGGTTGTCAGTAAGCTGTGACTGGTCCTGTGTTTTTCATCACAGTGCTTCTCTGGACTTTGTTCTGTGTTTTGTTTTGTACACTGTGGTGTAGCATGGACCTGGCTTTTAGAGTGCTTAGAACTGTATATGCTCTGGGTTTTTAAGGTTACTTCCTATAGGTAATTTTAGTTTTTTATCAAAAACTTACGGTAATCTTAGTTTTTGTGAATTATGTGCTCATAAACCAAGTTATTCAACAATCATACCATAGTAAATACATGAAAACAATTGATAAACAATCAAAGAATCGTCTAAGGGAGAACACTGAATCATATCTTATAGAGACTGTCAGCAAAGTCATTATTGACTGTCAACATATGACTCCTCACCTTGCCACAGCGCAGCCTTTCATAGCTCTTATAAGCAGTAAAAATGAATATATTTGCAGAATAAACACATTTGAAGTATTAGAGAATGCTAATGCATTTTTTGCTCAATTTGCCTTCATCAGAGCAAGATAGAGAGTGGGCATTTCACACACTATCTTGCTCTGATGAAGGCATATTGAGCCAAAAACGTGTTCAACATTCTTAAATTCTTCAAATATGGTTTTTCTGCAAACAGGCTGTAATTGGTTTAGTGTTTTTGTGATCGTTGTTGCATGTACATATTTATATTTTGGTTCAGTTTTTCTTGCATTTTGCATACAAATAAATAAGTACAAGAAAAAAACTTTTTCAGAATTTAATTTCAGATTAGGCAGGAATGACCATTTTACAGTAGCCGTCTCTGTGTTACTGCTAACATTTTCTTGTACTATGCAAGTATTTTCTTATTTCAGATATGTTGTGGAGACCTCCAGAACTTCTTCGTGCTGGTATAGATGCACCAGGAACCAAAGAAGGGGATGTCTACTCTTTTGGCATTATCCTTCACGAGATGATAGGCCGGCAAGGACCTTATAACACGTACGACAGTGATACTGATGATTCTTCAGGTCAGTCATATATTGTCATTAAATGTTATACTTTTTCTGATGTTCCACTGTTTAAATAATTTTCTGAACTATTGATATATACTCTTTTAAGTGAGATTTCTATTTTGTTTTTGTTTTTGACTTGGATGTATAAAGACAACTTCAGACTGTTGTAAGCAGGCTTAAACGTTTTCCTTTCCACTACTTAACTTATGTCTTACCCTTCAAGTTTTCCCGGAACATGACCCATTTATCACTTTACAACCAGGACCCCAATTATTGCTGGGTGAATAGGAGTGAACAGTTATGAATCAGTACAAGTCGATTCTTCCTGTCCAGAGTTCAAAGCCATAGTCACTCGCTAGGCACTGGAAAGGATTGGGGGGCTCAAGAGAGAGAGAGGCAGATCAGACAGGTTGGAAAGAGGAGCTTTAGAGTGCAAAAAGGTTACAGTCCAACTTATCAAATGACCACTGAGGGACCAAGAGAGGAGGGCAGAAAGACAAGAGGAGGTATAAGGATGGGAAAATGGTCACTGTTATGGAGGTCATCAAGGACCCTCCATGACAGATCTGTGTAAATGGAGGAGTAAAGAGTAAAGAAAAGATCAATATAGGAAAGTGTGTGAGTTGAGTGAGTGAGTATGATCCTTAACAATTTTGGAAATGCCAAGTATGGCTTAGAGAGAGTTTTGAGTGGATTGATAAATTTCTTTGTGTCACAGCAATTAGATACCTTAGGGTGGAATGATGTATGCCTTCCAATGAGCTCCCCCGCTCTTTGTTTAGGGGACAAGATTCCTGTATTTTAAAAAGGTACTTATCTTTGTATTGCATAAAGTTGCTCATATCCTTGTGCACTATCAGTGTCCTGTATGGATCCATTACTGTACCAAGGCATAGAGGAGCTACTGAGGTACTGCTCAGAAACGATTGATTCTTTTCACTCAAATGCAGCATTTTTACTATGATTTTGGATTTGTTTTCTATTTTTTATAGTTATCATTAAAAAATTGAAGGCTGGGTCAACAGTAACTGGACCTCCATATCGGCCTGATCTCAACAAGATAGTAGACATGCCATTTGGTTCTGATGAATCAGTTCGCAGTGCCATGCAATTATCTTGGGAAGAAAATCCTGTGGAGAGACCAAGTTTCCGTGCACTCAGAATAAAACTCAAGAATATGAAAGATAAAAGGTAAGTAAATTCCTATTATTATGATGATCTATTAGAGTATCGCACGTATTACTGTGTTCTGTTCTTTGTATCTACATCATTCAGAAATATGCAAGGAAAATTATTCTTATCTGCAAGAAGTTGTCATTATTATACTTCTCTCAAACCATGATACACCTCTATACATAGAATAGCATCTTGATATTCATACATTCCATATATTTTCCTTTTCATCTGGGACGAATATATGCAGTACAGTATTATAGTTTATATTATTATTATTATTGTGATACCCTATGGTTTCAGTGTGCTTATTTGTGAAGAATCACACTTAGTTGTTCCCTATGATAAGATTCTGCTGTCATTAGGAGAATGAATCGTGCAGTCAGGTAGAGTAAAATTTGAGGAACTGGTACCGCAGGGAACTTTCACAAAATCTTTGGAGGGTCCTACTGGTACTAGGGAGCACTGGATGATACCATCCATTAAAGTGAGCTGTAAAAAGATCAAAGCACACATGCACACTCAGATTTTTTTTAGAGGCTTCCCCCTTCCCTTTAACAACTCTAAAATTATAGAGGATTGCTCTAGCAAATTACTGGTTGACTAATCTGCCCCCACCATCTGTGTCCAGATAGCAACATGGTATGGTCTATCTCACCTAACCATAATATACTGGTATCTGTTTTTCATTTCATGCACCGGGCATGTGCCACTGTATGTTGCTAGATATTGCTTAACACTTATAGGTCACATCACAGGTCAAAACCTCACCTTTCTCAAAGATGTGCAGAGAGCAGAGGATTCATGATCACTTACTGAAGAAGCAAACCTCCAGAAAGTAAGCAAAGCAAAACATACAACAGCAAGGTCAAAAGAAAGTAAACAATTTAGCCAACAACTTGGCAAACGATTCACCCAGTAGTTAGGTAGTACCCTTGTAGCAGTTGCCCACCACCAGCTGACAGCACCACAGGAGCTGCCAGCTTCCTTTATCAATCTTTAGTAATGAGCCAAACAAAAGCCAACAAACACACCCAGTGTCAAAGGGAGTGTCCAGGGAGCTACAATGGTCCCCAGAAAGAGCCATTTCATTACATACAATGTTGATTTTCTGGAGGGCCCGAATAGTGGCCCATTGTTGCTAACTAATAACAGAAAAGAAAAGAGTACCCACTAAGGGAGGAGAAGAGCAAAGATCAAACCCCAAAAGGAGAGGATCCAGGACGGAACCCTACCCAGAGCAACACAAGCCCGATGGGGACCAGGAAAACTAGTCATATAATGAGACACTATGACCCTGCTAGACCTCCATAACCTACGTGCCTGGATATCAGTCCGAGATGCAGTAGAAAACACGATGGCCAAAATTACAAACTTCTGAGCATCAGAAGAATAGACCACAGGCTGGCTAGATTTTATATCACTGAGGATGACCTGAGCTTTCGAAGAAGAAACCAAGAAACATGATCATCAAACAACACATCCCCTGAAGCTGCTTGGGTAGTCCTGATGGGGGACAAATAAATATTCCCCATAACTGTTTCTGGTTCTAACAAAATTTGTTCCCCCATTTTTCTAGTTTGTAGTTAACAATTTCTGTATAATTGAATAGGTTGAATCATCAAGTTCAGTAACTTGAAATATTTTTATTTTTTATTTTATTTATATATACAAGAGTTCTTACATTCTTGTAAAGCCACTAGCACGCATAGCATTTCGGGCAGGTCCTTAATCCTAATTTTTCCCGGAATGCGACCTGCCAAAGCGTTTAACAACCAGGTACCCAGTCACTGTTGTGTGAGCAGAGGCTACAGTTAAAGATTGGCACCCAGTCAATCCTTCCCAGCCAGGATATGAACCCACGATAATGCATTCACTAAGTGCATTTATCCATGTTTCTGTTAGGATTACAAAGTGAATTTTATACTCAAGTGCTTGTAGCTAGGCACTAATACAATCACTGTCTTTAGGGAACTATAATTAAGGTTTAAATACGAACATGTTACGTGATTTGTGAGTGCATTGTTAGCTGTGTAGCATTTACAGTTTTTGTTACTAAAATATTGATTGTAATAGATGTCAGGTAAACAATTTTATTTATGGTCTATGGCTGAAATTCTTTTGCATAATACATACTTATCCTCTACAGTGAAACCACTCTTGTGTGTTAGTCCCTGCTTGTGATCAGTTAAAGTTGAAGATAGTTTTGAGTTACAAAGATAGCTTGATATTATTTTCATTAAAAACAATATTGTATCATTATTTGTAATTATTAATGTTAGATTGCAGTCCTAATCTGTAATTCTGTTTACTGTTTTGTAAAGTGTGCGGTAATTAGTATTTATTTGTATTAGTAATATATAACTGTTTTTATTAACAAGAAAAGAATACAGTCATTGTTGTATTTATAATTTCAGTGATCTGTTATGAATATTTTGATTTGCCAAGGCAATATGTCATGACTATTTTGAATATAAGGATGATTTGTGATGCCTATTTTCAGTCGTAAGGGTAACTTGATGGACCATATGGTGCAAATGATGGAGCAGTATAGCAAGAACCTTGAGGAGTTGGTCACTAACCGAACACAACAACTCAGAGATGAACAACGCAAGACTAAAGACCTCCTTCACCGAATGTTGCCATCGTTAGTAATAATAATTTTAAGTCTTATCACAAAATTATATATCTATATATACAGTAATTGTTTTTCTTATCACAAAAATCTATCATGTTCAAATTTCACTTTTGGTACTTTTGGCCAAATTACACATTCTTTCTGTGAGGGAGCCCTTTCGGCTCCCTGGAGCTATCGGACTGATATGTGCTATATTAGTCTGGAACTTCAGTCAATGGAGTTCTGCCTACCGGGAACCACTAGCAAGAACATGGCCTCCTCAGAGAGGCACAGGGAGCACTGGCCCTAGGAAAACCCCCTTGTATTTGGGGGTATTCCATCTGTCATCGAATGGGGTTAGGTACCCAGAAAGGTAGGCATCTCAAAACAAACCCTCACATGGTAGGAAATTGCAAAAAACCCAAGACCGAACAGAGAAACAGAACTCCCCTAAAGAAAACAAAGGAAATAAGCAAACAAGCAAATATCATTTACCACCACTGAGCCGTTTGTTCACGCAGCTCTTCCCTCCCGGGAGGGGAAAGGGGAAGCTCCGAACCCCTCGCACCGGCTACTCACACCTTAGTTCACAGGCTGAAGCACTCTGAGGCGGCTGTTAACTCTGGCCTCGGTTTCTTGCTGAAATTTGTGCACCCGTGGTGTTTTCCTGCTGTTTGTGGCGTGGTGGCCAGGAGTAATGTAGTGTACTGGGACTGCATGTGCTTAGGGCTGCCTTCCCTAAATATCCTGTAAGTACTACCATTGGGTTCTAAGGTTACCTTCCTTAGAATCTTCGGGCTTACACTCCCATTGAAGTTCTTGTTGCTCAGCATTTACCCCGTCCTTGGGGCCAGCGGAGGTTTCGTGGCCTTTGGCTCTGGGTAGAGAGTGGTGTTGTTGTTACTGATTGGGGCATATTGGTGCTGTGCAGTACGTATATTTAGTGATGGCCGTGTTTCCTTTTCCTCCTGTTGTCATTGTACTTTTGTGGGGGTTTTCTTTTCTTTTTGTTACTTGAATGGGAAAGGTCTGCCTGGTGTGACTATTCATTCTGCCTAGGATATTGTCCAAGGCAATATCCTTGGACAAAAGGTCTGCCTGGTGTGACTATTCAGTCTACCTAGGACTGAATAGTCAGTATTGTCCTAGGCAATATCCTAGGACAACATCCTTGGACAATATTTTCCAAGGCTCCTGTGGGCCTTGGAAAACCCTGTCGGGGCTTGGCTGACCGATGGATGTGTCTTCCAACACCCATCTCACCTTGTGTGAGTTTGAGGGTTGTTTGTTGCCCTTGTCTCAGGGGTGATAATCACCTGTTTTGCCTCCGTCATGCTGCTGGTTGGGTCGGTGACACCTTTGACCTAGAGTCTTGCGAGGCGTGCTCCCGCTCATGCTCCAATTTACCCATTCTTCTTCGGAAGTTCTTAGGGAGTCAGGTGGCATACATGTTGCATCGTAGGTTGTTGCAGCGCGCTAGGTTGGTTGCCTGCTCGGATGCCCCGGAGCTACCCCATTTTGGTTTTAGGGACCCAGACCTGGGGACGTTGGTCGCTTCGACCTTGGTTCAGTCCGCACCTTCAGGTCCTTCCCTGCCCTGCTGCTCCATTTCCCCCTTCCCCACACATCCCTGCTGCTGGCTGCTAAACGTCTGAGGGTTTCAGAGTCGGGGCAGGGTTTAGTTGGTGATGAGACTCGGGCAGCCTCAGGAGCTGTCCCATTTGAGACAAAGATGGAGGCATTCAACCCTGCTCCTCCTGCTGGAGCTTCTGGGTCTTACCAGCAGACCCCCTTCTTTGCTGCCTTTTCCCTGGACTGTGCCTTTTCTTCAGGGGTTGAGGGCATGGAGGACAGCTCTGCCCCAGGGCCTAGCTTGGAAGCTTCTGGGCCTGGAAAGGAGTTGACCTGGGGGGCTTGGATCCCCTTTGATCCCACTTGGGTTTTGGTGCTCTCATTGCGGGGTTGGTTGTTGCAGGGGGAGGGGTTTTCTTACCCCTTTTTGTGTACAAGTATGATTTGGGGTCGACTCCTCCCTGGATTCTGGGTTCCCTTGGGTTCCTCGTTGCCCTCCTTCCAGAGGTTTTCTGCCCCTCGCATCCTGCCTAAGGAAGTTTGGGAAGCTCTTTCGGCTTATCTCCTGCGAGACCCGGATTATGCCTCTGTGATGGACCCGTCCTCTTTGAGTTCGACTCTTCGTCTCCATATCGGGTGCATTATGAGGTTCCCGAATCTTCATGGCTTGCAGACTGCCCTTTCTTCTCTCAGGGAGCGTCGCACGGGTTTTGTCGGACCTGTGTTTGTGATGTGTATATATATATATGAACACATAGTACTGAACGGGGTGAGAATAGCTTGAGCTACTTCATCCCTTTGTGTGTATTTATACCTCAATAAACTTATTTCAGTTTCAATCAGTTCTACTTTGGACTGTTGCACCACACATATGGGGTTAACACAATAAGAACTATCACTTTAGGTTGTTCAAATTTATGGCACTGTACAGGATTAGGTGAAAAATGTTACTTGCTTATAGCCTAGTTTTACTACAATACAATTCTATAATAAATGATTGTGGATATAAAATATAGAATGAAATATCCAGCAGAAACCAATAAGATCATAGAGTAGTTATGAAAGGTTTAAAGACCCACCTGCTCTCTAATTGCTCTCCTTCTCCCTCTGCTGGTGATACCTGCTGGCAAGACAAGGGCAACAGCTGTATAAAGAAGCAGTAGCGAATTTCCTGGTCATAATATAGAAAATTGCAAGACAAGGGCAACAGCTGTATAAAGAAGCAGTAGCGAATTTCCTGGTCATAATATAGAAAATTGTATCATGAGCACAAACAACTACAATTTTGATAATTAAGTACACTTAACTATCAATTTGTAGTTAAGTAAAGTACACTTACTTTTTGTAGTGTACTTTATTTGTGGACAGTAGAGCAACGATCTCGCTTCATGCAGGTCGGCGTTCAATCCTCAACCGTCCAAGTGGTTGGGCACCATTCCTCTCTCCCGTCCCATCCAAAAATTCTTATCCTGACCCATTCCAAGTGCTATATAGTCATAATAGTTTGGCATTTTCTCCTGATAGTTTCTTTCCCTTATAAATATAATACATCATATTATGTTATTCTCATCTGTCACTTATGCCAGTGTCCATAAAGATTTACTGTATTGTAATGTTCCAAAGTCAGATTAAAATATGATTATAATTACTGTGTGTATATTTATGATGCTTCATTTTTCAGGTCTGTAGCAGCAAGTTTAACTCAGGGTATTGCTGTAGAGCCTCAAGGTTTTGATTCTGTCACCATTTACTTCAGTGATATTGTGGGATTTACTTCTTTATCTGCAGAAAGCACCCCTTATCAGGTTAGTCTTCTATAGCTATGTTTTTAAACTCAAAAGTATTACTAATATGAGGTGGGGTCTTATCATCTCCATTCAACCTTACCCATTCCACTAAAACTATTAAGACTTTAATTGTTCCTCACATTAGTTCAACCAGCTTTTAAAGTAAATTACTACAATTTTCTCTACATATTTCTTATTTATTAATAATGTTTATAGCTAATTATCCATTTGACATTTCTCTGTTTTGTCTTTAAGTTTCCTTTTTTACATAATAGGTGGTAAGATTCCTGAATGACTTGTACACCCTGTTCGACAATATTATCCGTGGCTATGATGTTTATAAAGTGGAGACCATTGGTGATGCATATATGGTTGTATCAGGTCTTCCCAAGCCTAATATGGGAAGACACGCAGGAGAGATTGCCTCTATGGCACTTGAACTACTGGATGGGGTAAGTTTTTCTTTTTAGTTCAGCAGACCTTTGTCATTTATAGATTTTTATTTGCGAGATTGGTTATTCGATGGTAGCAGAATAGCTGAAATGATTTTTAATATTTTATTTTTGTTTATTCAAGTCAATGAGTTGCCACTGAAATTTATGTAGGATATCTTTAAACTTGTAGTAATATCTATCTACATTATCAGATCAGGTCATCTGCTATAGTAGTCAAGTCACCTCCCATGATCAACAGTAGATAGCCTGGCATTTAATTATTCTACAGATTATTATAAGGTGTTTATAAATATTATCTTTAGCCCTTCAACTGTGCATATCAACCAGAATCGTTTTATAGGTGGTGCACATGTCAACCAGGGTAAGTTTTATGTCTAGCATAAGACTTAAAGCTTCCTTGGGTCACATTTGCTTCCTCAGGACTCTAGAAAATAGATGCAATCTTGGAAAAAAATCATGGGCACTTCCCTCCTGGGTGTGAAGGCCTCGGTTCTAAAACAACAACCATGAATAGTGCATGCAGCACCAGCTCACATCATCACCATGTAGCTCATGCCCATAACATTACTTAATGGTGAAATAAATAACTTAAATAATTTAATAATGATAGTGATATAGAAGATCCTGATATGCATCATGTAACAGGACCTCATGTTCCTTTAGAAAGGAAGTACTGTAATTATCAAAAGGCACCAAGCCATGAAGGCTATGTAGAGTTCCTTTAAAAAATGAACACATGAAAAAATTTTCATATTCAGGATTCTGATAATAATAGCAGTGGTTTGGCTAGTGTTAGCAGTGTGCATAGTGTATTGATCAGAAGTTGAGGTGATCATGCCACACTGGCACCTGGCGAGTGTGTGGACTAACTAGGGTGAGCTTGGATCACAGCCACCATAACTGCTTAGTGGTTCTTAACAGTGCATAAATATGTAGTTATATACAACATGGGTATACAGTGTGATAATAGCATAAACAATATATTTTATTGTTCAAAGAACATAACATTGTATGCATATTAGTGACAATTATATTTGTATGTATCAATATTCCACACAATTTATTATAGAAACTTGTCAAATTACGGTGTTACATAATAAAACTGCATCGCTTGTGTGTTGTGAAGTATCATGAGAGTTCCTCTCCACCACAGCTAAAGTAAGCTACATAATTGTTATTATTTGTTTTTCCCATGATCAGAGAATGCATTTTAACAATATTTTGAAAAAAATTTGACATTCGTAAAGAGGTTATACAGGTAGCCTACATTTTGTGAAGAACTCTAAAGTATCACATAACGTGGATACTGGGCTAAGCAAGCAAGAACTTTTATACCAAGTTTTAGTGTGGGGAGGTGAATTTTGGAGTTACGTGAGTTAAGAATGGATTACTGCTGATAATTTGTGCTAATTATCAGGTGTATCGGATTCATAGCATAAATCAAGCTCCTGCACACCTTACACTCTTGTGTTTCATGAATGTTTTCAATTAAGTACCTGGTATATTTTCACATCTTTGCACATACCAATCATTCTAGACTTATTATGCATTGAAATTCTGGTTAGAAAGTGGGGGAAGCATTAAATAATAATGTTAAAATACAGTAGGCACTTTGTTGTGAAGAAAGAGAGTATTAAATATTTTCTGGAGGGGGCCGAATGCTGGCTTCCTGTAGCTAGCCACACTGAGATAGCTCCACATATGTATGTCACATCAGCCCTTACAAATCCTCAAACCCTTACTGGAGACACGAGACCAAAAACCTGGCCCCGTTACAGAGGTACAGGGATCAGGGGATTCATGATCACTCACACCAAAGAATAAACCCCCCCCCCTCCCCCTGCCTTAGAAAGGACGTAAAGCAAAACAGACAACTGCAAGGTTCAGAGAAAGTAAGCAAGCAATGTAACAAACAATCCACCCAGTAGTTAGGTCATACACCCTGTAGTAACAGTTGACCTCCACCAGGTGGCACCAACATGGGAGGTGCTGGTTTCTTATCAACAATCCTCAGTCCTTTGTCTGATGTCAGACTTGTCTGACTGTTCCACAAGTCTCCAGCTCTTCAGGTTCTAGATTTTCTAGATAAGTGTTGACCATCCTTTGGACTATTCTGTAGCAGCTCATTTACTTGTATATTATTACATTCTTTACACAGAAAAATCACATTAACATGATACATCAATGAACAAATCCAAATAGATTTGGACTAAAGCGCACCTGGGAACACCCAGCGCATAGGTTCGAACCCTCACCAAAGCTCCTGTTGGATTTATTACATTTATTAGTATTTGTTTTACATGTATGTGTTTACAAGCCTCACTTGTTGTGTTAACCTTAGTAACAGTTCATTTCACGCTGCATGTGCTTAGGGCTGCCCATCCCTAGGTTATATCTTGAGGTTATCTTCAGATGATTTCGGGGCTTAGCGTCCTTGTGGCCTGATCCTCGACCAGGCCTCCTTTTTGTTACACTCCCCCAGGAAGCAGCCTGTAGCAGCTGTCTAACTCCCAGGCACCTATTTACTGCTAGGTAAACAGAGGCATCAGAGTGAAAGAAACTTTGCCCATTTGTTTCCACCTCCACCGGGGATTGAACCCGGAACCTCAGGACTACAAATCCGAAGCACTGTCCACTCAGTTGTCAGGCCCCAGCTTTGCTCGCTGATGTTGCCCTTATCCTGACCGGATTACTTCCGTAGTAGATTCATTTGTTTGTCCCATAGAAGCCTGTGAAGGGTACCTCACCCCTAGTAGTACAAGGGTCTTTGATTCCTCAGTGAAGTTTTAAGTTTGGGGGCATTCTGGGGTTTATTGATCAAGACGTGCACTACGGTTAATGTGCTTATACATATTGCACACTGCCAAATGTCCTCCCTAGCCAAATTGTTTTATAAGGGCGGTGTGGTGTCAGTAAAAGCCCCCTGTTAGGATTGAAGGTGTTTTGAAGGATTAAGTATTACCTAAGTTAGGTTCATAATGTTACAAGCAGATGCTCGTTTATTTTAGAAGTACCCAGTATTGTAAATACTAAATACATGTAACCTATACCAGTGTTGTTGTTTTGAGAATAAAGACTGATGCAGAAGCATGTGTTTCCCTCCCTGACAAAGGTTTTGGCTGCTAGGTTAGGCCAAAACCTAAGAACCTCCTAGTGCCTAGATGTTCTGCTTGGTCTTAACTTCAGTCTCTGGAAAACCCAGTAAGTCTTTGGTGTACATCATCATTGATCAGTCCACTGAGCCTGCACTAATTTCTTGAGAATTTAATGGATGTCCATTGGTTATGCTACATACCAATGGTCATTTGTACAATTTTTGCTCTGCCACTCAATGAGTGGCCCTGTTCCCAAGGCCTATGATGTTATGATTTGCTGGGTCTCTATTTTAGCTAGATCCATCGTCTATTGATTTTTTTGTAGTGATGAAGCTTAACAAGTGGCAGCTTTCTTGGGTTCATAAAAATTGCATTTGAGTACAAATGCTGGTTATACTAGGATTAAGGTATATAAAATATTTTGTTTGTGTGGCTCAAGTGTTTATGAACCAAATAGAATCTTTGATTACAATTCATAATTTAGTTATACAGTTCTTGCATCTGTGTTTTCTCTTGTATTAGCTTATATTTATAAACTTTGTGTAACTTTTATTTTTAATTTCTGAAGGTTCAAAATAAATTTATCATCCGGCACCGCCCTGAAAAAAAGTTGCTGTTACGCATCGGGCTCCACACGGGCCCAGTGATTGCTGGGGTTGTTGGCCTTACTATGCCAAGATACTGTCTTTTTGGCGACACTGTCAATACTGCCTCAAGAATGGAAAGGTTGGTGATTATGGCAATTGAATTCTCATTACTGTCTAGTTATTGAAGAATTAGATTCATTGATAAACATGAGTAATTTTTTAATTATTGCATATAGTATTATAAATAAGCACCATATTCCTAGAGTGGAAGAGCCTTTTGTGGGTCTGGCATAAAGCAGATTTGTTGATCCCCATTAGTTTGGTTTCCCATTATCAGGGACAGGAAGCCTTTTAGGTTTGTTGAGGTTTCTAGCCAAGGGTGAGGTAGTGTCTGATCACCCAACTAATTACTGACCAGACCTAATAGTTTAAACAACTGAGTTTTGCACAGATATCCACTAGAGTTTATCATTATGTGTATTCTAAATATTTTTAGGTTATGGGCTCTTTCTGAGTGTAGGACCAGTACCATTGTAATTCTTGTGCTGTCATGATCATTACACACAAAAATCACAATAGTGTGATGCATCAAATGATAAAATCCACAAGGGCCGTGACGAGGATTCGAACCTACGTCCGGGAGCATCCCAGACGCTGGCTTAATCGACTGAGCTGTGACATGGTCAAAAAGAGTTGAAACCGAAGTTCTATTGAACTTACTGGATCCTGCAGCCTCCCCGAGGCACAAACCAGGGTTTTATGCAACTCCCACCATGCACTCGAGCTATGTCAATAGGCCGTTTTCCCTCTTCACCTTTACTTCATTATACACAGAAATCACAATAGCTTTGTTCATTAGATGCATCACACTATTGTGATTTCTGTGTGTAATGAAGTAAGGGCAAAGAGGGAAAACGGCCTAGTGACATAGCTCGGGTGCATGGGGGAAGTTGTGTAAAACCCTGGTTTGTGCTTCGGAGAGGCTGCAGGATCCAGTAAGTTCAGTAGAACTTCGGTTTCAACTCTTTTGACCATGTCGTAGCTCAGACGATTAAGGCAGCGTCTGGGATGCTCCCAGACGTAGGTTTGAATCCTCGTCATGGCCCTTGTGGATTTGTCCTGTCATGATCATATTGGCTATCATATTTGATGTATTTAATTTTTTAATTTATTTCAAATAGCAATGGAGAGCCATTAAGAATCCACATATCGGAGCAGTGCCATATTGCACTGAAAAATCTTGGTGGATACGTGATGGAACCTCGTGGACTAGTCACCATGAAGGGGAAGGGGGAAGTCCTCACCTTCTGGCTCAATTCAGCCAAACCTGAAGCCATCCAACGGAGAGAATGTAACGAGTCATTATCATCACCTTTACTTCAACTTAGTGAATATGATATGGAGATAAAACGGCGTAGCCCTAGGCTTTCTTCTATAGGTAACCGAACATCAAGCATCCCCAGGTGAGTTATATGGTTCTATTGTAGTGTTACCACAAAGTACAGTACAGATATATTATTGGTACAGTAATTATTGTTGGAAATTTGGTAAAATTTATAAAAAAATTCAGATGCAATGGATTTGTTTTATTAGGCCAGGTGGAGTCTGGTCCCAATTACAGTAGTCATTGTAATGTTTATAGTATTAATTGCTGTTTAACTATTTTATTTTATTTTGAATTACAGGAGCATAGAGGACCCAGGAGATATAAATGGTGGGTTGCCACAATTAAACTATGATGAGCCAAGGGATTCCCCACGCTCAGATATCTTATACCACCGTCGGCATCTTGGCAGTAATTTTCGCACGTCCAGTATTGATAATACTACTCGAGGCAGTCTACTGTGTCCTCCAAGACAGGAGAGTGCTCCTGATATAGTACATCAGAGTATTAGTCTTGATGAACTGCACCATTCAGGTGTTCGTTTAGAGGTGCCAGCATTGCAAAGCATTACAAATGCTGCATCACCATCCTCATCAGAACCAACACTTCCCCTAGATGATAGACAACGTGGTGTTAACTTTTGTCCATCAGCAAACAATGAAGAAGTTTCTGCCACCCATGGTAATGGTGAGAGAGATCCCATGTTAAATGGAGGTGAGGGAGAATCTGAGGGACAAGGTATATACCCAGGAGAAAATAGTCCATGCTTATCTGGAATTGGAAGCAAACGATCATCTACAATACGATCTTGGCTGGCTGGAATATTCCAGTACTCACGGCCTAACTCTCAAATAGCAGCAAACAAACTTTCATTAAATGGACTCAAGAGAGAAAGTCTTGTTTAGTATCGTCTCAGAGGTGGTTATTTGAGATCAGTTTTTATTCACGTATGATAATAATCAATGTTTGATAAAACTTAGTACTGTACTGAATACCATGTCTTCAGAATATCCAGCCGAGGTTTTTATGACTTACAATATGGTACTGAAATTTTAACCAAATTAACTTTACATTAAAAAGGTGTAAAAGTTGTACATTACACCAAAAGTTATTGATGAAAGTATATAACGAAGTGAGAAACAAATTTGTAATTAGTGTACAAAATTTCTTGAAAATGTAATGAAAACAAAACTTGCAAGATTCTTAATGTGAATGCTCAAAAACTCCAGACGACTCGTTTGAGATACTCTTCAGTGCACAGTGACTGTAACAGGAGAACAGTGCATTCAAAGCCTCATATAATTGCTCAGAATAAAGGATCCTTATGTATGTTTTGTCAGAGATGCTAAGTTACTGGAAAGTCATAGTGGTTGAACTGTGAATTTATTATATACTTAATAAATGGCAAGAAACTTGTTAGTGGTTATTGCCTACTTTATAATTTGCAAGAACATCTCTATTAGTTTAATTAACTTGAAAACCAGTGATTTTCAAAATTAATGTTATAGAACATGAAAAAATAACTTTATATATAGATGATTTGGCTACTTGAAATATGCCAAAATTTCAAGTGAACTTGAATTTTGAGGAGGATTAGACCTTATTTATGTGGCAGCGTATCTTAATGCGTCCACTCACTTTAGTCTATCCTTTAAAACAGATCATTTAATTACCTTGTTAATATTGTAAATTTGTGTAAATTAGTATTTCATAGAGGAAAATTTATTCATTCATTGTAATAAAATCAGTAATCATATGGAATAGTTATCTTAACTACAGAAGCCATTAGGCTGGTCTGTTAGAGATCACACCACAAAGTGGATTGTCATTAAGTTTACTTTTGCCAGACTGTGATACAGATTGACGAGTGTGTTCAGAAGAGTCTGAGTCAAGTGGCTATGTATGCACATCAAAATGTATTGTAGATATTAAAGATACAACAAATTAGAGTACTTGATCTTCATTAAGCAAAATTTAAAATAGGCATAAATATAATTATTAAATAAGGACTGTGAACAATATAATTACAGTGTAGTTACACGGTAGTGTTTCTAATAGCCACTTTTCTCTGTACTGTTCATCTGAACGCTGTATTTGGTTTTCTGAACGTGCCATAATATGGGGCATTTTTTGCTGACAGTACTAGAAGTAGATTGCCTTTGGTACCATTTATTTTAAAATGTAATTAAAAAATGTCATTGTGGAGAGCTTGTGCAGTACCTGGCATTGGCCCAAAGGGTCTGTATAACTTATCTCAAGTGTGGTGGCCATAATGTCACTTGCCACACCAGAGAAAACTAATATCAAAAATCATTATATGAGCTTATGTCATATTGTGGCCTAAACTTTAACACAACATTCACATTATAACGTAAGGTGAAACCAAGCATTCTGCTCGTAGCAGAGAAACATTTATGCGGAGTATTACTGCCAGCATAAACTTCAATACAGCACAGTATTACATATAAAAGGTCTATATGAGTAATTAATATTATACGGTATAGAAAATTAGAATATTATTTTGCCACTTGCAAAAAAAAAAAAAATCTTTAAATGTATTTATTGAAATACCCCCAAGCCATAGACCTTGGATATTAGACCAAGTATGAATGTTGTTTTGGATATTAGGCCTCTCATCTTTGTTCTCTTTAATTGGCTATTTTGTTTCATATTCAGAAAATACTGTGCAACTCATGTACAGTATGTCACAAGTTTGACTAAAGTTCATGTATATGTGAAAGTAAACTTTTGTAGTTAAAAAGTTTAAACAAAATTTTGTTGATCAAATCAGTGGTGAATACATGACTCCTAAATAGCTGATAAAATGATAATTAAAATTTGTAATTGCACAAACTCCACAGAAAATACATAGTTTTGAAAATAAGATCTTATGCCAAAGGGTTTTAATGATACATGTGTAAATGAACCAGCATTCTTGTACTTAAATGTATTTATATACATAACAAAAATACATATTTATAAAACTGTGTGCTGTATAAAATGTTTACACTCTGCATTGTACTCAAATGTATGGAAATGTTAGATTTAATGAATAAATTTAAACTTCACACACAGAAGATACCGAGTGGAATAGACAATGTGGACATAAACAGCTTTTGATTGAGAGAAAATAGGGTAAGAGAACTTAGTGGAAACTAAAAGAAATTTACTAGTGGATAGCCGCCAGTGGCTCCCTGAAGCTGTCTCACCGAGTTTGCTCTATTCAAATGGATCACATAAAATGTATGAGTTCTGTTTGGCCATGACATGTTTGTGATCAACTGCAATAAGGGCTCCAGGCAGCTGCAAAAGAAAAAAATAATGAGTTCCATCCAAGAACACCTGAAAAACAGAACTCACTTCCTACCATTCAAGAATATCTGGGTTGACAGAACCCTTGCCAAGCCCCAACACAATAGAAAGGATTGTCAGCCAACCCGATAGCGCAGCCAATAAGTCGAAGCAGATCAGCCTTCGAACTAGGCCGGGTTCATCAAAGAAGCAAGGTCTAAATTATGCAGGATGTAACAATTTTTGTTACAACCCAAAGGATTTTTGAGTAGGAGAAAAATAGAGTTAACTGAAAAACAAATAAATGGTAAGAATGGTAGAGGCAGTTTGAGATTTAAAACGTAATGGGCCTGCACAAGCCACACACAGAAAAATGTGGGACAATGGACACCTCAACAAATACGAGTCCGATGCACTGAGCGGCATCGGAAACGAACCCTGGGGAGGTCTGCCAAGTAATCAAATTCTTACATCAAAGGGAGGATAAGAAAAACCATTCTCCTGAAACACGATAACCCTCCACAGAAGGAACCAACATCCAAGCAGGGATAAAGGGCACCTGTGGATCCTCCATGGGCCTTCCCTCAGCCTGAGAAGCCAGCCATGATGGCCCCAGGGCAGAACCGTATTCCCGCCCAATGCCTTGGATAGAAAAGTGCTGTCCCAAGGAGAAAGATTGAAGCAGGTGAATGGCTGTAAATGCGAAGACTGCATCCCTGGCAGGAAAAGATGGTTAAAGTGCCTCCAATTTAAAAATGAATGTGACCATCCACAGAGGTCACGCTAAACCCTGAACTAAATCCTACCCTGAATCCAAAACCCTCAGATGCTTTGCAGCCTGAACCAGGGATGGGGAGAACTAGAAACAGTGCAAACCACTCCTGCAGGAGGAAGATGATGACGACTTAGCCCAGGTGGGGTTCACCAACACCTCCATATCTAGGTCCCTAAAAAACCATATGGGCCAACTCCAGGGCATCTAAATGAGCACCACGAGTCTGTGAAGCAGCTGCTGTCTGATAAGCCCTCAGATAAGAAGCAAGCTCAGAGATTGGAGACCATGAGAACCTGACAGCCGAGTGGACAGCGCTCGGGATTCGTAGTCCTAAGGTTCTGGGTTCAATCCCCCCGCGGAGGCGAAAAACGAGCAGAATTTCTTTCACCCTGATGCTCCTGTTCACCTAGCAGTAAATAGGTACCTGGGAGTTAAGACAGCTGCTACGGGCTGCTTCCTGGGGATGTGTAACAAAAATGAGGCCTGGTCAAGGACAGGGCTGAGGGGATGATAAGCCCCGAAATCATCTCAAGATAACCCAACACAAACATGTTGCAGGACTCTTGGGTCATAGATATCATTGACCAAACATGCAGCATGGTGGAGGCAGAAAGAACGATCATAGGCCAATAGGAACACTTTTCAAAACTCGCTCATAATGAGTGTGAACTCGACGGGTCAGTCCATCACAGTTAATACCATGACCTGCAAAGACATTACCAGCCAGCCAGCCTAGCAGGACACCTAAACACTAAGGATGCTTGTCAAAAGAAGACACTGAACACAGCCTACAACAATTCAGCTATAAAGGGTGTCCGTGGTGTGCCATATAATTAAAGTGCACGTGTACCCTAGTGCACCCCACTTGCAATCAATAAAAATGTCCTCAACCCAGGGCCTACACAGAGGAGTCGATGACTCATGAAGTGCCCAGAATGAGGGTCTTCATCCCGGTGGCCAGGTTTCTTGGGAGCAAACTCCTGAATTCACCAGAGAAGTAACTGCCAGTGTAGGGGTCAGAGCTAAATAAGCATCCAGGGAAGAGAACCCTGAGTACCTGCAGCTTGAAACATAAAACAAGCAAAGTCTACACAACCAAGCCAGGAAGAAAACACGCACATGAAGCAAATGATAAAATAAAAACACAAGCAAATGGCCTCTGAAGGATGACTGGCACTTAGCTGAGTAGCAGTGGAACACACTGTGATAGATGACAATCTGGAGAGCACACAACTGGCTAAATCAGCCACAACAATGACAGAACTGAACATTAAGAGCCAGCTGTGGATCGGGGCTCTGTGCTGCCGGTGGCAGCTATCAGTACTTTTGAGTTCAAGCTAGGTTAACTGAACCAATTGTTTCTTCAGACTCGTCTTCAATAGGACAAACAGGACTCCCGCGACTGATGTGATCCAGTAGTAGTGGGGAGCTGTCTCAATAAGATAGCTCAAAGCTATCTAGTAGCCACAAAGCCACAAAGTGGCTCCTCCCAGAAACAATGTTTGATCTATAAGAGCAAAAAATTATAGATTTTGAATACTGTATACAGAGGACCACTTGCTTAGCGAACCCCTCGGGGATGAGACCTGTCGGTTACCGTGTAAGTTCGTAAACAAGAAATGTAGGAATAAATCTAAGGGAAAAATTGACAGGTTCATAGCATGACAGTATTTTGTTTGTACTCACCAATAAAAGAAGTCCTGATCCACTTCTTATGTTGATGATCATTGTTGATAGAGCATAGTTATTTACATGGAAGAGATGATGGTGAATGTTGGTGTTGGGTTGACTAAAGTGGAAAGTAATGGTGATAAGGTAACCTCGGATGTTGACACATTTGGGTCAACATGTGATGAGTCAGATGAGGCAATGCGAGCTTTGGGAGCCTTTGCAAAAAGACTTAATTGACATTTGTTTCATTCCTTTGACCTCGTTTTCAAAAACTTTATATACAAATTGAACTGGTCATTCAGTCACAAGTCAAAGTCAGGTAGGCATTCAGAATCAAGTCAGTCAGTCATAACCAGTCAAAGGCTGTTAGGCATTCACAGTTGTGGTAGCAACCAGTCACAGTTTGTAAACAACACGAGTGTGATGTTTACAGAACACCAATGTTACGTACTCTCACAAACCCAATGTACCTTTTTCTATATAAATAAGTCAGGGCAGTCAGGTCGGTCGGTTTGTCAGTGCAGTCGGTCCAACTCGTCCTCTTAAAAATAATGTCGCTTTTCGCTCATATGCGCGCTATGGTCAAACGTGGACATACTGTAATTTGAAATGAAATCGACTCACAAAAGTGACGTACTGTCCCGTTTTCTGTTTGAGTCGTTCGGCTTACTCGGTAAGATTAGGAAAGGAAACTTTCAATTAACGTTTTGAAACTTTATGAGAATTTCCTGCCCACCTAACCTACCAGAGGACCCTTAACTACTGTTGTTGAAAAAAAAATCCCAAATTTATTTTCATTTTTTTTTCATTTTCAAATTACGTCCACTTTCGGCCATATGGGCAAATGGCCAAAGCAACATTATTTTTAAGAGGAGAGGTTGGTCAGTCAGGGAGGTTTGCCTCCAAGGCCACCATCTGGAAGGAAGGTAGCCAAGAATATGAATAATATTAATACCTGTCTACACTCACCTGGAGGGGTGGGGGATATTTCTGGAAGGGTTTGGTGTGGGAGGGGGGGGGGGGGAGCTGAGGGGATGTGGTGTGTCCACAGCCAGTCTGTGATTGACCGCCCACCCAAGCCCACCTACCCACCCAAGCCTGCCTACTCGCCCGAATCCACCCAAGCCTGCCTACCTGCCCGAACCCGCCCAAGCCTGCCTGAGCCCACCCAAACCTGCCTGCCTGCCTGAGCCCACCCAAACCTGCCTACCTGCCCGAACCCACCCTGCCCACCAGCAACCGACCTAGCCCACCCACCCATCAACTTACCCACCCAACCTGCCTGCCAGTCAGCCACCAATCTATCCATCCACACTGCCCGCCCGCTCACTCAGCCAGTCCACCAACCCAGCCATCCTCCCTGCCCATGCACTTATCCACCCTGCCTGCGTTCCAGCTGGCCACCCATCCATCCACTTACCTACCCACCCACCCAGCCAACCCACCCACCCACCTGCTAGCTAGCCTGCCCACCAGTCAGTCAACCACCAATCCATCCATCCATCAACCCACCCACCCCGTTATGCTCACCCAATTACTAACCCTGCCTGCCAGCCATCCCATTCAATCCCTGCCCACCCATCCACTCACCAGTCAGCCATCAATGACACTGTGTGTGCATTTGGAGCCGACATGGTGCACAGATGTTTCTATATTATGCAGATATGTCCAACAAAGTCACAGAATGAACACTCCAGCCTCATGATAAATCAAAACAATAGCCGTGACTCTGTGACGTCACAGGGTAGAAGGCACTTTAGAGTGGTGGCACCCGACACAGTCAGTGGGCAAACTAGGCCATCTCCAACCCACTCTCCCACCACCCCGAGCTGGCGCGAGGCCTGGCGAACCACTTCCTTGCTTCCCGAACTTTGTTCGTGAAGCATGAAACCTCAATCCCAATCGTGAAACTGGAACTTTCGGATAACTAAAGTTCGCAAACAAAGTGACTGTCTGTAACAGAATTCTAGTCACTACCAATAGGGTTTGGTATGAACCAAAGTCTACCCATATGAGTTGGAATAAAATGTATTATTCTTGCCACTGACAATACTGTATTTCGAAATTTTGTTTATGGAAAGATTTAATTTATGATTTTCAGAATAAACACTGAAAACTATACAAAACTTGAAAAATTATAAGTCTATAAAAACTGTTATGATCAAAAGGGGCAGAATACACACTTTTGATGCATAGTTTTCTTAAAACACACAATCTAAAACAACAACAAAAATCCAGGCCTTACAGAAA